GCTCTAATGTCCTCCACTAAAGGTTTGCCTATTTACAAAAAGTTGACAATAATGCTCCTTTTCAGCGCCTAAATCCATTGAAGTTCTTTTGATTTTATAACAGTTGAGGTGATCGCCGGTGCTGCAAAGCTAAAATCCATCTCGGATGAGCAGAAACCAACGGTTGCAATCATAACAAACCTATTGTGCGAGAAGTTGGCAGTGGACTCACTGATCGAACGTAAAACCACCTACATCAGATATGAGACTAAGGGTATGTTTTCCTAGTGAAAGCCAGCTTTCTAATCGTCATCGAAAAGAAGCCTTGGTAGTAACGTCTGCAACCTACCTCCTTAGGTGACTCCAACGTCTACACCATCGGCTATATCGGTTCAGTGAAAGTGATCTCAGTGAAGCTACCCATGGTTGGTTGGGAGCGTCAAGCAAAGATATCGTCCGGTAGCATCACCACCCGTCTTCTTGGTCAGCTAGCTTTCCTTAAAACCACCTTATGTTGCCGTTTTGTTAGATTCATGATCGTCTTTTGTTGTCATTAATCAATTTCTGATTGCATTTTTGGATTTCGTGTTTTACCTGTCTGTGCATTCCTGCCAGGTACATTTCAGTCAATTCAGCACGTAATCCTCTGTGGAGTGGGTGGCAGTGTGCCGCATGTTTATGAATTCAAGAAGCATTCACGCCTGGGCGACATTGTGGTCTCGGCTCCGAGTAAAGAGGGTTCATACCCAAATAAATCCCAGCCATGGTACATCTTCTGCGAGGCAGTTGACTATTTCAATGGTAACGCTTCGTCAATTGCGGACGGGGATACAAACCAACAGAAGCAACAAGAGGTGGCTTTCACGCACAAGAAATTTGCCCCCAAAAATTCCTTCCTGTTGAACTGCGCCGAGGTCCTACTCGAAGTTGATCCCACCTCCTGGCATCACATAATCAAGGAGGGGCTGAGTAATCTCAAGGATCATGAATTCAACTTTAACCGACCGCCGGCTGAGACCGATAAGCTCAAAATTCAGGTCAGTAGTTGAAGCGGGATATACATCGTCGCCATTTCAGACACACCGGTGATATCATTTGGTTGTTCCATTTGTGTAGATTGGAGATGAGATGATTGTGGATGTGAAGCATCCTGAACCACCGGGAGAGATGCCTCCACCCCCTCTAGTCCGTCTCGGTTGCATCGGGTCCGGTCATGCGGTGACTCAGTGCCAAAGTTTCCGAGATTTATTTGCTGTCAATCAGAATCTGCTGGCTTATGACGCCGAGTTTGATCAGGTGCTTGAATCTCTTTTGGGGAGTGGAGTGGCTTCCTTCCTCATTGTTCGTGGCATTGCGGATTATGCCGAGGGTCGCCAAGGAACTGATGCAGGCGCAGCCTCAATTAGTTGGCAACCTTATGCGGCCCTTTCTGCTGCTGCATTCACTCGAGCACTTGTTCTGAAATTGCAATCCATGGAGTCACCGAGTCACATTGTTAGCTAAACCAGTGTGCGTTCTTCCTATCCTGTTATTTTGTGAATGTCAATAAGCGTGCATATTATCACTTTTAACACAAGTCAGATCTTTACCAGCATGACATTGAAATTATGACAGTTATACTAGTCATCTAGTCGATTCTTCTTCAAATGAATATCTGAAAATGCGGTGGTTTTTCTCATCATTTGGATAAGCTTCGCGTATGGGGCAAATATAAGGCTCTTTGGTTCATGTCTTTATTTGGAGAATGTTCTTGAAGCCTGTATTTACTTTGGCGGGTGTATGGCGACCGTTTGGAGTTGGCAGGACTCTACAGCTAAGAGGGTTACTGAGAAATTTTAGATTAGGCCTGGCTGGTACCTGGGAGAATTGTGCATAAATGACGATGCATAAGGAGCTGGTGCGGAGTGAAGTCCGACGTAATCTGCGTCCTTAAACTTGTTTTCGAGGGGGGACCTTAGGACTCATTTGGATGGGTTTAAAAGGAAAAACACTGAAAATTGATGTCATTATCTACAAGTTGAAGTGTGTAAATGTGACCAGATTCAATCATAAATTATACGCATTGTATTTACATGAGACCCTAAGGTTGTCCTATGTGTAACAGGATGTAGAGATTGAATAAGCTGTTTAAGAGCACAGGCAATTCAACCACTATGGGTCGTACTTCATCTGTGCAGTATGAACTTTGGGTCATGCCAAGAACCTCCCAGCCTTTCAATACAAGATATTCCATTGTACACTGGCTTAGAAAAACGTCAGTGCAGACTAGGGTCGATGCAACTGCACGCATTTGTTTATGAAAAAAGTGGTTACCGGTCGTAAAAATATTAGCTATGTTTAACGACATGAGTGAGTAGACAATGAATAAAAGTAAAGCTATAATAGTAAGAACAAAAGGGCCCCGGACGTAAATAATGTAAAAAGCAGCATTTGTTTAAGAGAGTAAAATTGATTGTATTGCCCCCTTTAAAATTTGAATAAAAAAAACTTTTATGTCTGCCCTAAAAAGTCTTCTAAGCTACTTTAGGTGGCGAGACGAAGTAGCCAGTATTTTGTTTTAGCAATTCGAAACATGCCGGTGACCGCAAGTTCCAAAACAGTAGTTTTCATGGTTTGTTTGCGTGTGCCATTCGATTTGGCGTAAATCTGTGTATAATACCTGTTAAAGTATAAGATGACAGAGAATGCAACTCTGATGAATACATCTGGTGATGGTCCCGATATGAAGCTCGGTCCTCCCTCCAAGCAATCTGACGCGCTGGGAGGCGCGTTATCAAGCACTATTCTCTCTTCTGCCTTTAACACGAGTGGAGCTTTGCAACAGCTTAGCGAGTTTCTAAATATGCACGCGAGGGGAGGGACAATGCATGATTTTAAAGGTGACTTGATCATTTTCGTCTTCCAAGTTTTATCTACTGCTTGCTCTGTAAGCTTCGTTTGTGGGATGCGATTTCCGGTTGTCGTGTTGTTATTTGTCCTCAAAATGTTTTTATTCTTTTATTGGCAACGCTTTAGCTTTTTTGTGGTTTTTGTGATTTGTGCCTTTAGAGGCTCTTACCGTTATCGGTGGCGGCTTTGTGCGTGTGTTGTTTTCGGTGGTATTTAACCCTAATGCACTTTAAATCTCCCGATTTAACCCTCTTTCCAGGTCAGTGGTCTTGCATTCTTGATGCCGTTCTTCCATCCCTAGGGAATACGCCCACGATTCCTATAAACGACTTACGAGGTGATGAGGCGATCCGTTACACACGCGAGGAGAGGTTGGTTCGTTGCCAACTGGCAGCGCTTTGTCATCTCATCGATTTGAACGGGTGGACGAATTCAATTTACAATCAAATATCGGTAAATATAGTTTATGATGTTTGCGCTTTTGCTTCCATGATTCACGTCTGTATTGATTTCCAAATGAGAAATGATTTTATTTGATATTATTTTACGTAACCTTGAACCCCTTCATTGCCCCTTACATGCTGATGTATTTAAGCCTGCACTCTCGGGCCTTTTAGCAAAGTTTGCACGAACGTTTCAGTTCCCACTCGGTAATAGCTTATTTTTTCTATTTTAGGCAAAGTGCGCAGAAGACGAGTTTTTGGTCAACCCTTTTGGACTTCTCTACCACGAGGTGCAGGCGTCGACTCTGGTGAAAGTAAATAGTCAAGGTAATGCTTATCACTATTAAATGCGTATGCTACTTGCGGTTATACTGCTTCCTCGTATTGTTGTACCTAGCCTTATTAAGTTTGATTAAGAATCGTAAGTGTTCACATTACCCAATTTTGTGTGAAGATTGAGGGCGAGAATAGGGCGTGAAGCCGTTAATAGGGCTCATAGTTTTGCTTGTCAAATATTTGTCGATTTTTAGGCAGTTTTTTTTTTGGCATGTGGTATTCATAGGCTGCGTATACCACAACTGTCTTGGCATCCACATATTTTTATTGAGTTTTTTTTTTCGTTGAGACTTGAGTAATCTTGTAAAATGTCCTCATAAGATACCTTGGTGGCTGTAAGCGTTAGTGTTCATCTAACGGAATATTTTCCCAGCTTTGTTGGGCTTTCAAGGATCTAGATTTGTGTAAATAGTGTTGCCTTATCTCCATTGCTCTTTCAGCCAATTTTTGCCCATATCTTGTCTTAGAGCTTTTTATTGTTGTATACCGACATATTTGAGCCTAAGTTTTCGGATTCTTTGTAAAAATTTTGTGGAGTCTGGTGTTTTACTAGGATTAATGTTGAAATAGATTTTGCCATGATGCATTAGTTGTGTTGGGGTTTAGATGACCATAGGGTGAATCATGGTGCTTTTCGTGCGTTATTTTGATTCTTGCTGGGACCAAAGAACCAGGACCTCAAAAGTGCATGTATTGCGAACTCGCATTTGATTAATGCATTGTTTCACAAGTTTGTTGCTCTATTGGGAGGAAACATTATTATTATTCCTGCCCAATTTTATACTAATTGAAGTTGGTTTTACCTCAAAACTTTTAGCACTAGGAAATTTAAGCTTTTTCCACTCAATGATGGTGTTAGCTTTATCAATGTTCTTCTAATGAAGGCTTAGTATGTAAAATATCAGGTGCAATTACCATGTTTGGTTAGTTCTAATTGTTAGCACTGCAAGCGCATCTTTTTTCTGAGTGCGCTCCGGAGGGTTTTTAGGGCACTTAAGTTTATATAGTGACCCCACCCGCAGCCCCTAAAGTGGCTTGCTACTCAAATAGTGTTCCTGGATGGGTTTGTATCTAACTCCATGTGGGTAGTTGGTTGCATGATGCCTTCATCTCTATGAACGTTCCTTCTCCGAAAGAGGCTTCAACGATGACCGTGAAACCGCCAAGTTTACCGCTACTCTTAATTTTGATGAAATATTTTACTATTGCATGTTGTTTTGCCAGATCTAATTTCAATGGTCGAGTCTTTAGTTCCCTCCAGAGCTTTGAGTGTCAAACTCTAATGCGATGCAAACAGCTGTGTGTAGTTTTTCCGTGTTGAAATTGTCCCCTGCTCCCTACCCGACTGCTAATTTTTCAGCACCAACTTGGCATACATTTGTTTTTTTTTGTAAATTTCTGCAATTTTAACGGAATCATGGTAGTTTTATTAAGCAGTTGTGCAATGCAAGGTATTCGTAGTCCGAGGTTATGCAGACAAGCTTTTTAAAGGATTGTTTTGCGCTTCAGCTACCTTAGAAGTCGACTCTTTCTCCTGTGAATGCGCTCGTAGGGCACCAACGTGCGAATAAACATTTTCGGCCGGTCACATTGGTGGTGTATGCTGTAGTTTGCAATTATTTTTTTCTAGCATTAGAAACGGCTCCAACAACATAGTTCTTGTTTTTCTCTTCCTCTGTTATCTGTTTGTGAGGCCAAATGTGCATTTGGCCTGACATGTATGGGTCACGTTATGCTAGCCGCGATCGGCGGCGTCGTCACGTGCAGGCTTGGCGAAGCCAGAAACTCCACGCGAAACACGATATTGTAGTCTTCGCATGCCACCGCATAGAATGCCTATCACCTTTCATTGACTCATATGGATGGCAGTCTTTTGAGCTCTCATAATGTGACTGCAGAGGGCTAAATTGTCTTGGGGATAGTTGAATTGCTTATTAGGCGCTGGCTTCGGTCGAGACGACTAAATGTTTGACGAATGGAGTTACCGTTATGCAGCAGCATGGATTAACCTGTAGTATGTACTACGCATATTCCTACCGTATTGGTAGTAATTGTAATTAAGTCGTCTTCTTTTCTCAAAGCCCTCTCCATCTGCCATTTTGTGTCACGCGATAGGTGCTCTCGATTGTGCTACGGAGTGTAATTTTTGTGGAATCCAAAGTAGCGTCTCTCAAAACTACTGCAATCGCATAGTCGGTTAAAACTAAGTCTCGAATACCTGCACACATCCTAGTGCGAGAAGATCCGAGTTGGACCCAACATCTTCCCGCTAGTGTATTTTCATCCATCATCGAGCCACATCTGGCCCCTTTTGTATCCACCGCCGACATCTCTGCACGGCCTGATTAGAACCCACCCACGAGTGATTGACGGCATTTTTGAAGTTATCATTAATGAAAACTTTGGCTCATGAGGCCGCCTACAACTTTTCGTGCTTTTTTATGCTACCGTGGTGTGCCATTCTGTGGACTGTCATTTGCTTGAATTTTATTTCCTTCGTGTAGGCAGTGTTTTGGATTCCGGAAGCACGGTGCTGGGCGTTAACAAGGCTGGATGGAACTTGCATTCGGCCGTTCACAGCACTCGCAGTGATATCAACTGTGTCGCCCACCTTCATCTCCCCGATGTGGTCGCGGTGAGCCTTTTACTGTGCTTAGCATGTCATAAAAGTCACGCTTAATTATGTCAGGTTTTCGGAGGTTTATTATGTTTTACAAATTGGAGTTTTGGTGATTACGTGAAAAACGGGGATGCCATTATTTACTACCCATTTAAAGGTTTCTTGTATCAAATCGGGCCTACTTCCAGTCAGCCCGGAGGCACTGGAACTACTACCCAGTGTACGATACCATGACTACGCTGGAATCGTTACAGACGCCACTGAGGCCGATGCCATACGTGCAGATTTGGGCAATGCCAAGATTCTCTTTCTACGCAATAAGGGTGTCACGGTGGCTGCATCTACTATACCTGAGGCCTGGTACCTCATGAAGCGAGTTATTAGCGCCTGTCAAACTCAGGTAAGTGCAGTAGTACATTTTAAGATACTTCTGTGGTCTCTTTTAGCAGTGGTTGATTCTGATGGTTCTACTTCCTTAAGCGAGTCTTACCGAATCGAAAAATATGGTACCATTTACGTCGGTACTTGACTCCGACGTCTTCAAATAGGCATTACACTTTCACGTAATCACGGTTGTATTTTGGCCCCTACGTGCTATCCCGCAGTTGCTTTTCATTGATGTATTTGCCCATCATTTCCAAACACCTTAATTGCTTTTTTTATTGCTCCCAACAGTGAACTGTGATTACGCCGTACTTCCCCTTCCTAACTTACCCTGTTAACGACTTATCTCCTTTACTGGTCTCTGCGCTTGCTTTGTGACTCACGGTCTCATTCTGATTTGGGCCGACTATGTTATTGGCCATATCCGCTTGCGCGCTACTTGTGTGTGCCTTTCTTCTGATGAGGTGTGCTTCTAGACCACCTGTACTAAATTATTGAGCCCTCTGGTCTTAGGTTGATTTGGAGCCTAAAACTGGGTAGTTTCACTAAAGATATAGTCTGCTTGAAAGGTTTGATGAAGCTTTAAAAAGAACACTTTAGTCCTTTATTGATGATCTTTTAACCTAAAAGTCCCTTTTTTGTGCATTTTCATTCGTACAATTGCCCCCTTTTTTCATTTTTTAGAATCAACCCAGGTTTCACGACAAAAGAGGTTATTTATTTTAGTATTTTTTGGAAGCGCTGATTTCGAGGTGTAGTAAATTCGTATCTTAGCCATAACGTTCACTTTCTTGTGTAGATTCTACTGTTTTTCTTAACCCACTAGTTTCTATCGTACAATTTTACGCCTTACCGCAATCTCCTTCAGATGCGACTTCTTCAGCTGGGATGCGGTCCCAATCTGCTCAGTGAATTTGTCCTTACCCCTGCAAAAAGTGATGCTGAAAATGCAGCTGAAAAAGCACCAGAACAATCAGGCGACTCCCACGAGGCTGTCGCTCAAAATGCAATCCCCTTTGCCTCCGAGTCGCACGTGTTTGCCAACAGCGAGACCAACGGCGACGACCACGTTAATGGAATTGGTGCCAAATCGACTAGCAGTGGGGTGACTGGTGCGATCGCCCTCTTTCCCATTGCTCTTGGCATTTCCATTGTCACCAATTATCATACTTCTTTTGCCTTTCTCACGCTTTGTTACTACCACATTTAGATTGTCTTGCAGTTTAGATTTTATGTTCTCGTGCTAAAATGCATGCCAAAATCAACAATCTGACAACAGTGAGAGCCTTAATTTGTGTTAATCTATCCTTACCAGGCTTTGTGGCTAATTCTTTTTTTATATGTTCATAGTCCTTTTCCCCACTAGTTTTTGCGACCCGTGCGCATCTACGCATGCCCGCTACCATTTGTATGCTCATGCCATTTAGTGGACTATGCATTGCCTTCTCCCACTTCTGATTCCACCTTTGTACCCTAGGAACCGCCTATTATTTAATTTCACTGTTTTGCCGATTTCTAACTCCTCAATGGCGATTTACTTCCACGACATCAGCTAGTTGTAAGATTTTAATCTCGCGATCCGACGTTCAACTGTCGGTTGGTTGCCTACTTTAATGCATGAATCCTGTTTAGTTCCCTCGTCACCTTATTCCCCTTAAATTCGGCTCAATTTACGGTCTTCTGCGCATTCATTAGCTTTTTCTCTTTTCAAGGCGAATGAAACGGTGGCTTGGATTCATATGGGAATTTTAGCGCCTTTTATGCGTTTCAGATGTAAATTGTTTCGTTTTTTACCTTTCCGCGTGCATGCCATGCTTTCGCTTGTGATTCGCATTGTATACTCACCAGTTTAAGGTGATATTATGGCACTCGTGTGTACTTTATGTAATTTTCGAATTGCTCATCCATGGAGTAGGAATTGTTGAGTACTTTGCATTTGGCTGCATTTCTTTTAGCAGTCGTTTATGTAATGTTGACGGCGTTTTATTGTAGATCTCTCCGGTTGGGGTGTGGGTGAGATGGATTTCGAGGCTCAGATGAGAATGCTTGACAGCGCCGGCTATCGAACGGGTTACGCCTACCGCAATCCTAACCTCCTGCGTCGTCCACCCTCGGAGGTGCACTGGGGATCGGGTACAACTCCACACCAGACAGATAATATTTGCACCACTGGATTCAGCGCCGACACTACAATGGCTGATACCAGTGGCATAGATGACGTGACGGCAGCTACCGAAGCGGGAGCTAGGCAGATTTCTGAGTTAGTCGGCTGTTTTGTCGTGGCATTTTTTATGATAGGTAAATTACCCCTATTGAATCGGACAATGGCTCGGTTCCACTCGTTGCACCCCTTGCAGACTTGGAAAAAATTTGACTCTCCCAAGCACCGAATTGTGTAAAATGAAAACAGCGATCCCAATGCTTTTTATAGTCATTTCCTTGATCTCTTAATTTAAGTCGTAAAATATTTCTTTACATCTAAATCCTCGCTTTTGGGCGGATATAAAGCTGACAATTTAACCCTACTCCAAGACGGATGTTGGTTCCTGTCATGCAGTGGAACTCCAGGCGAGGGCTTTATAATAGGCAACTAGGATTGCGTATTCGTTTGATTTTGTTGAGTAGTGGGATCGGCACTGATCTTCCTTTACTCCTCAGGATCGCAAATACAGTACGATCTAACAGAGAAAAGGGTGTCCAACGCAACCAATGGCTGTCTAAAACGACGACTGGTAGGCTAATTTGTTGTCATCTTCCTCTTCAACTCATTTGTCTCAGGTTCTGCCTAATCGAATGCTTCTGCTGCACCCTCCATGACGTGCTTTTATTACTGTTTTTGTTATTGTGCATGTACGTAGGCCTGCTTTTGTTGTCTATTTTCGCCGTTTGTCACGCACTATTGCCATGCAGACCATTTGTTCGTCTCCCAAATCCCCAAACACTATCAATCGACACCGATGAATGGCCGATATATGGAGGCAAGTGTGGAAGAGCTTCCGACTGCCGCGGCCATTCCTCCTCTCAACTTGTCCCCCTCTTCACCCTCCACCCGAAAGTTGGGGCGCCGCAGCAAGACATTTTCGTCTTTTTCATCGCGCAATCGTAAGCCACCTTTCCTCCACCTCCCGCTTGCACACACACTATCCTGCTATTTTGCTTGCATGCATAAGCTCAACTGTTAATATTGTGTTGTATCATCGCGTCATTTGCATAAACTGTCTCCAAAGAGGCGCGTACTCCGATTTTGCGCTTGTCACTTACCCCCAGTCTGTCGCTTGTGTTTCGTTGTTGATTTGCGGAATTCTGATCCGCACATTTCGTCCCACGACAATGGCCGAACGCTCATTTATAAATTTAGTTTCAGCCAGTACCAATAACCGCATTTATCAGCGGCATGTTGTGGTGTTTAAGTATTTTTTCCCTTTCGGAACTTGGCTTAAAACATTGCCCTCTGCTCCATTGTTTATGTTGGTCTAACTCAAGGCCGGCGTTGTCGCCAAAGTCACGTAGGCACGCTGTGTCACCACCGGTCGGTCATTGCAAACGTCCTAGTTGTGGTTCCCATCACGTTGGATGCTGTTTTGGTTGATTGTTTTTTTTTCCTTACATCCCACTCCCATTTAAAGTACTGTCGATTGGCTCATGAGTTAATTTGCGTCACACCTTTATTGACATCTACTACAGTCACTTTCTCGTGTCCGCGATTGCCATTGGCATTTTAGGTCTTATGTTTACTAGAGAGCACTTGATTTGCTGGTGAGTTCGTGCATTTTGCATCAAGTAAACCGTTTTCATGACCACACCTCGAACCTGTATGCTGTTATTGAATTTTTGTGTCACATTTCTGGCATTTTAAACCATGTTTGTGTCTGGTGAGGTGGTGTAAATTCCTTACATCATCGTCCCATTAAGACGTTGGTCGGTGTTATGTACCGTGTTTTCCATCAGCCTCACTCAATGGGGTCATTGCATTCTCGGTTGGGCTCGTTGGTTGGTGTTTCGACGGCAGAAGGGTGAACTGATAATTGCTAGTTGATTAGGGAATGTTCTGAAGTACGACCATCGACGTGACCGCAGTGGGTTATTCACTTTTCACCATCAGGACATTAATCTCCTATGAAAAACTGGTAGTTAAAATTTTTATTTTAATTTCGAGTAAAATCTCAAACTCACCATCATCAGTTGTAAAACAGTTACAATCGTATGCAATTTGTTTGTCATAATTGCCTCGTAGAAATCAAGCACACGACTTGTGGTGTAGGTGCCACTATTGTGTCCCCTATCTGTTTTGAACAGGTTTGAAGGAGCGTCATGAGAAGTCGGAGTTATTGATCGAGGAGCCCCGAACACCGCCCATAGCGAGATCGGATTTGGCAAGCAAAAGCGCCAGTCTTCCCGCACACGCAAGGAATCTAGGTAGGTTGGTGTGACTGTAAAGCGCAGACCCCCTGTACACTTGCAACCGCATTCACACGGCTTTGTGGCTAGGGCCTGAGGGTTGTATCCTTTGGCATTCTTACTTTGTTTTGTTTACTTATTTTGGTTTTGTTTGGATAAGCTTATGTCAGTTGACTCCGCTAATGTTCAGCCAAAGTGTCAACCAAAATGGTTAAATATTGACATTGGTGACATGTCAGGTGATTTTTTGAGAGTTGGAAGAGCGTTAGGGTGTGTGAATAAACATCTTTGCGAGGTACTGCACTACGCTTTTTTCTCCCCCTTTCAGGCTTTATGCCATTTTTTGCCATCTAGTGCCCGCTTATACGAATGGCACTTGCATTAGTTCTAGCGGCGTGAAACACTCCAATTTTCACTCTCGGTAGTGCTGTGACGTGACAGGTTGTGAGCAATTGGAGGAGAGGTTTTAACATTTCAATGGGCATTTCACGTACACCTGCGGTCGTTGGTGTAGGTTGCAGTACAGCCACCACATGTAGTGTTTGTGCTTTAACCAATTCCCCTCCTTTCAGTCACCTACTCGGCTCGCAGCTGCAACACCCTCGAACCGATCGACGGCGCAGCTTCTGACGATGAGGAGGTACCTCGGCCCGTTTTATCTCCAAGTTGTAACTTCACTACTTGCCATTCATGCTTTGCAAAGGCAGCACTGGGTTGAGTCACGTATATAAGTGTTTATTTGAGTTTTATTTGTAATTTTAAGCCTCCACCAGTTTGTCTCACAAACATTCATCACAGTTTAATCAACTAAGTTTTTATATTCTTTCAGCTTAAATCCAAAGTTGGAAAGAAGAAGAGCAAGTGGGGCAGTTTTCGCTTCCCAACCTTCAAGAAGAAATCTAAGCAGGCTTCGGTTGCAGTTTAAAGAATTTAATTTTTTCGTGCTACTCTCGCTTTTATCATAGTAATTTGAAACCCAACCCTTGTCATTTGCCGGCTATCGAATTGAATTTCCCCGTGGTGCAGGTAGACTCACATTCTCCCGAGGTGGGCACATGCATACACACGCACACACTTATGCGTGCGCGCTTGTGGTTGTACGTTTTGGTTGTCTGTCACCCATCCAACACCTTATTTAGTTCGCTTTTTACGCCTCATTACTAAAGATGTACGTGTATATTTTTCTAGTACACCTATCTCTCGAGTCTGTCTATTTCTCTGTTTCCAATACACTGTAGCCTCCTCTAAATCTGCTTTCCATTGTCACTTGATCCCCTCGTGCCTTCCGCATTCATCCATTTTCCCTCTCTTTCTCCACCACTGATTGCGGTTACCTTCCTTTTTCTCTCCTTAATCTCCCCCCCCCCCCCTCCTCCTCCCTGGTTAAATGTTTGATTTTTCGCTTGTATTTCTCATCTACTATTTAAGTCCCAGTAGGCGTGGCTGCCCTCGGCTTGAAACTCGTCTGTCAATCATCACAATCTCTTAGTGTGCATACAACTGTTTGCATATTCTTGGGGCTCACTTGTGCGCGAATCGGTTTTGCCGACGATTGTGGTGCTGTTCGCTTCTTTTATAATCCCACGGCAGCAGAGAGGCAACACCTGGTGGCGGCCGTGGGGTTAGCTCCACATGTTTTGGTGAAGGTGTGATTTGCGGCTAGAAGCGGCGTCGGTGTGGGAGGTGATGTATCACCTTTGTTCAGGCGCTGGAGGCGGTGTTTTATGGTCCGTTCGGGAGTTGGAGGCACGGTGGTCATTGGTTGGTAGGGCGATGTCGTTAGGGTTTGTCGGTTTTGGTCTGAAGCGGAGTCGGGATTAATTGCTTCCGTAGGGGGCGTTTCATTTAAGGCTTCTTAGGGCGAAAGTCTAGGAGCAGCGGCTTTGTTCTTCGGATATGTAGCGCGGAGATCGGGTAGCGTTTGAAACTGCGGCAGAAGTAGTGGGCTTTTGGCGTGAGTGAAGGGTTACTCACAGGCTGAACACAAGTCTAGTAAATCAATGAGGATTCATGGCCAGTTAGGAGGTTTTGTAATTTTTGGCAAGGAGGTTGCATAACTCTTGGTAGTTAGGGAATTTACGCTTGAAATTCTTGAGGTAAATGAACCATAAAACAGCCGTAATGAGATTCCAGATTGCAACCAACTGTTACTTAACCCACCTTAAACCAGATTTTTTGGGGAATATTTGGCGAGTATATTTTCTCCAACGTGATGTGGAGTTGGGCACTATAATGGCGGCATCGCTACCAAGTTTCGTTGAAGAAAATACAATTACGGTACTACTCCAGCGATTTTGCCGTTCTCATAGTCTGTTCGCTTCATTTCTGCTTTCACGGCGACAGTGAATCAACACATAGTGGCAAATGTGGGATGCTGTTCCACTTGGTTTGATGAAGGAGTGGTTTGTAGCTAGGAGCAGCGTTGGTGGGGTGGATCATTTTTCACACTTGTTCAGGCGCTGAAGGTGTTGCCTTGTGGTTAGTACAAGACTTGGTGGATAACTGGGTGTCGTCGATAGCCTTCGCATTTAATTTTGTGAAGAACGCTGCATTTAAGGCTTCCTTGGGCGTAAGTAGAGGGGTGGTGGGATTGTTCTTCTGACAGCGACTGAAATTGTGTAGTGATTTTGCGGCAAAAGCAGGCGACTAGTCACAGGCAGAATAGAAAACCTAGGTAGTCAAAAAATCTTACAGAATAATTTGTTAATTTGTGATTAAAATAGTCATTTTTTGTAGTTTCAGTAATTTAGGTTGATGCGCATGAAAATTCCAAGATATCTGATTCATTCTTAAACTGAACCGGGGAAAGAACAATAGTTTTCTATACAAAGATTTATTCTATTTACTCCGCATCAAATAGTGTAGAAAATAATTAACGGGCTCATTTTGTTTAACGTTGTGGTAAGGAGTTGGGTACTATAACAACGGTATCGCCTCTAGGTTTTAATAGAAAAAATACAATCGCAGCAATACTTTAAGGCTTTTTGTTTTCCACTGACATCCATCATTTTTTTAAAGTCCTATTTAATTTCTGAAATTTTTTCATATCATTACTGGCCCTTGTTTCGTTTGGGAAAAGCTTGCACTTATTAAAATATTGTCGATGCAATATTGTTGCATTAATTTAATTTTGTTGATAAATTGACTGCCTATATGGATTGGTTACGCTGAGACTATCAAGTCGGTAAACGACACAAATCAACGGAGCACTGAATCTGCTGGCTAGTGTGGTTACACTTAGGGCTCTTAAAAAGCTCAGTGTGCATCAGATTAACTCTTATTTTCCATTCTCGCTTTTAAGAAGGCATCACTTACATTCAGCAGATTACAAATCAGAAATCAAGACTTATAGTACATGGTATATGGATCTAGTGTTGGGGAATATTAAACTACTAAATGAAAACAGTGATTGAAGTGGTGTTTGTTACTGCCTCTTTGTGTGCGCGCTGCACCAGTTCTCTCAAGTCAACCTATTGGTGCAAAATTCATTCTAAATTTTTTTTAGGGGATCAAATTTTTTACATAGGCTAAATCGTGTCAGATGCCCAGAATAATAGACCAGTCTACCTTTTAAGACCGCTTGAATGGGTCACATATCAGTATTTTAGAGTGCGACTTACAAATATCTTGCATCCAACATTTTTTTCGTAGTTTACACCTTTTTTTCGTATTTTTAACTTGCAGTGACTATGGGTGATATTGACCCAAAGGTTATAAGGAAGACTCAAGACACACTTGGGAAGTTAATTAAAAAACCGCCACTTACAGAAAAATTGCTTTCACGACCTCCTTTCCGGTTCATTCATGACATATGTTTGGCAGTAGGTTATGATTACGGTAAATACTTTCAAGCTTATCCACTCAACGGGAATTATGAAGGGTCTTTTTACTGCAGAAGAATTGAACGTAGATTGCATTAAAGATAAGGATGCGAAATCCGCTTTCTTAAAAAAAGTCATTGATTACGTTACGGCAGCTCATAATCATGCCTTGGACATTAAAGTTGGCAGCATTATTTCGGGAAAAGAGGCTGAGCGCACAAACGTTCTCCTTCAGCTTCTTGCGGGAGCTGTCAACAACGGCGTAGGTTGATAAATCAGATTGGATTTTTAGGTTGATAATGCAGCATGTGTTAATAAGGCGTTAGGTGTAGCACAGATCGCCAAGGAATCCCCATCAAAATGCGATAAGAAGGAGAAGAAAAAAGACACAAGTAAATTGGAAATTGCGGGAAATAATTTGTCATGTGCAGCGCTTTCCAGGGTGAATTCATTCCACGAGCCTGCGAAACGTGCTGCTACTGAAAGTCGAAAAAGAAATCCTGTAAGCAGTCGTTCCAAGGATAGAATTGAACGCACACAAGAAAGACAAAAGGACAGAGTACGTTTCCTTGATGTCTATTTAAGTGGAAATTATAGCATGAGGAATTACCGAGGAAGCTGTCAAACAAGTTGTCATCTTCGAAGGTAGGCTCAAGCGGCTTTAATATGAAAACCTTCTAGCCATCAAACACGAGTTCAGACGTTACAAAAGAAGTCGTTGTTAAATCGGGGGATGAGGTTGGGAGTAAACCCACGGTTCAGCTGCCCGGACCAAGCAACAATGGACGCGAACGTTCTACCGATCTACAGCCTACACCGAATGTCACAGAGGGGGTTGTGACGACTTCACCTCAATCTCGAACCAGTAGACCCTCTTCAGCAAAGGGTCTTAAAAAACCTATCACTGGTTAATTTATTTTTCAAATTTACTCTTCATGCACCTTTATATGATACTGGGGGATTCACGCGCAATGTAGTGTGAAATTGGTGGTTTCCTCTATAAAAGATGATAAATAAATTAAAAGGCAGGTTTTGAGGACATTATATGGCTATCATAATCTTCGTGTATATATAACGCTTTCTCACCCTCTCAATTTTCACCTTAGAGCCACCTCAATTTGAAAAGCAGGCCACAAAAACGGATTTATCGGCCAAGTAAGCGATGAGTGTCACCCACATTATCTCGATCCAACTGCATTCATTAATTTTTCCTATTTATTTGTCAAGGACCTCTCCGGGACAGAATTCAACAAAGGCACCCACCCCGGATCCACCTGTATTTGCTGAGTGAGTTAGCAACATAGGCAGCAGACAGCATCTTCAATTTCTCTCCTTGATTTTCTAAATATTTAATGCATGTCAGATTAAAAAGCTACAAATCAACGTTCCCCTTATTTCACTCTTGGTTTGCCTGAAATTTTTAAGATTTCCCAAAGAGAAGACGCAAGAACTGATGGAACCGACAGGATCAAACGCTTTGTCGTCGTCTTCAGTGGCTGGAATCATGGTGGAGAACGAAATCTTCTCGGATGATGAAGATGAGGACGATGTACGAAGAGGCGGGGGAGAGGAGGAGAACGTCTCGGGGATTCGCCTGGCGCATGCCAGTGGCGGTGAGGGCGATTTCAGTGACGTCGAGGATATTGGACAGGCTAATGGTGGGTACCCGTGTTATGAGTGGTGGCGGTGTCCTGAGATCCATGCCACTATCTGCCGCCCCGTGGATATTGGTGAAAAGGTTTTAGGTTGCGACCTTATTACCAACTAATGTGGTGATAAGATTCCATTCATGTATCATTCGAAGCGAACAGATGCATAATTGTCCCCTAAACTTTGATCCTTTTTATGTCCTTTCAAACAGGTGGCCTCGTGTCCAAACTCCTAAGGGCGAAAAAGGAACTTGGCGGAGAAGGCACTCCCCACCCCACTGGAAGCAAACAGTCGGTAAGTAAATAAAATTTAATAATTTTTAGTAAGGAATCGTTAATGTACTTTTAAAATAGTGACAGCTTGTCAAGATGCCGTGATTTACTCAGGATTGATAAGTAAACAATATAAATTATTTTTCAGAACTTGATTGTTGTCAATGAGGTGGCCAAGAAACGCGACCGCGAAGCGACCGAGCGGGAGATGGAGAGACTGTGCCAGATTTTGCAAAACCTAACCAGATCTGCTCTACCGCTTGGCAAGTTGATTGACTTAATGCAGGAGGACTTCGAGTGCATACAAACGGAGTATCGCGAGTGGAAGGAGGAGGACGAGCGACGACAGCAACGAATCCGAAAAATGGAGGGGTCTGTTTGACTTAGGCACTTACAAAATCAAAGCGTAAACGGTTTTTCGTAGTTTCGATTTAGCTAACGGCAACTAACGAATGCGTATTTAAATTTGCCGTTTTTGTGTGATTCCGTTTAGCCAAACTGATCTCTATCTTGCACAGTTGCAAGAAGAACTGACCCAATTTGAACATAAGCAGTCTCAGTATCGTCGGGCGATTGCTTCGGTGAAGGCCAACATTTTGAATAATGATCAAACCATCCAGCAGATGCTGATCCAGTCGACAGAAACTTCGTAAAGTGCGGCTTCAGTGTAACTAATTTGATCCCAAAAGTCATCATTACTTTGTAAAAGGCTATTTAATTTTGGCGTTGAAAATTAACAATGAATAAAACACTATCCATTATTGCGAAGTCGGATTTTGAAATGTATGCTCGGGTGTGGATATGTGCCTCTAGCGTTATGGTCAGTTCCAAACGCACTCTTCTAGCAATTCGTTGACAGACACACATGTCTATAGTAAACAAAACAAATCATTTGTAGTTGGACGTAGTTTACGTGTAAGAATAGAGTAAATCCTCTTGACCACAATAAGTCTGGAAAGATTTATTTCCTTTTGACCAGTAGCAGACACAAAGGGTAAAAAATATCTTTTATTTATGCGTTGAAAATCAAAATTTGCTTTTAAAAAGGCTTATGAACTAAAGAACAGTACCAAAGTTATTAAAAATTTATAATCGCTTAAGCGTGAAATAAAGCGAAGTCACTAGTTCGTCCTTTAACACTTCCACGATTATAGCTAAGCAGTGTTGTACTACGAAAAATAAAAACTAAGCAATGAAAGTGTTGTTTTCCTTTAAAAGGCTTACTTTGGTCTTATTGTTGGTATGAATCAAAAAGTAGTGTGTGACCGAGTGCTGTACTTGAGCAAGTGACCTATGCGTCGTTTTTGGTAGGTCTTGTAGTATCGTTCTGCAAGGGTTGGGATACGTAATTTACACCCATTTTCTTTCAATGAGGTAAAAATTATTCAAGCTGCGGTTTGTCACTTACCTTATTCAATTCATCACTCCAATTCTTATATTCTTGAATTAACTCTGGGTGCGACGGTTTCTCTGAAAACCTCTTGTGATATTAATGATCAAAAGCAATAATAAGGTAATGCAAATTTCATATGTTTTGAATGACTCAAAAGGTCAAACTGCCAATCACCGAATACGTCGATACGGAGGAGCGTTATTGTTATGGCATATCTTCAGATAATGAAAGGGATGCTTTTCTGAATGGTAACTGCCTACCTAAAGCATTTTAAATAAGTAGTTACAATCCTTTAAATTTGTAACTTGTTTTTCGTGCATTTTTGGTTTCAATACCCTAGGCGGACCAGTTCACTGATTTAATTGTAGATCTGAGAAACATAAATAACAAAATTTTACATTTTGCAAGTGCGGAAATTCTACTCCATTACATTATTTTTGTGCCTTTTTTGTTACCTATTAGACTTACTGGACATCTGTACATATTAATACTTGTGAACATGCCCTTATGTTAGTTTTGCACGCAAGTCAGGGATTTTCCTGCCAAGACTGGTTAAAATCCTGCACTTGTTATCCCAGCATTTGGTTTAGATCATTTTGAGACCTCTATATAATATGGTTGGGTCCGTATTGTAATACTACCCTTCGTGAAATATCCCGTGAAATCTTACCAACCTAAACGTCAATCTGATATTATTTAGGATCGAGAAGATGCATTGGCCTTTCAGCGCGAAGTATAAAATAAGTTTATTCGTATAATTTCGATTGCTTTCAAAGACATTGTTAATTCCTTACTTTGCTACTGATCGCCAAACGATATCCGACGCCCTAAGGGGAATGTTAACAAAATGTGAGATACAAGTTTAGATTCAATGAATTTCTTACAGAGGCCAAATCTGGGAAAACTGTACCCCAATCCGGCTTGGTAGGCAAAACCGGTAAATTAATCGGAGCCATTGGTTCGAGTATTTGGTCTAGTGCCACCGGAGCCGTCTCACTTGGCGTTGATGCCGTGTGCACAGGCGTCTCCGCCGGCAGTTCTGTTGTCTCTGGCGTGATAAGTTACCTCCCATTCCCCCGACGTGCCGCACCGACAGATGAGCCGTCGCAGTCCCAAGAAGTTGTTGCTGAACAAAAGCCTAACACGCCCCCGCCGGCTAAGTCAGGAATCCTCTCGAAAGTACTCCTTCGAGGCCCTACTAAGGACAAAGCTGACTGAATCTGGCCAATCTCCCCTTCTTTCCTTAATAATTCGAAAACAAATGTTGAGTAATTTTATGGAGTCAGTATTTTTTCCTTAATAACATATTTAGCTATGGTACAATGTTTTTTCGCTTTCGACGATTCATAATAATCGGAGGACGAATTTCCCAATCGATGCATTACTAAACTGGGAAATCGAATGTTTTTTTTGAGTATATTTTAACTTCATTTTATGCTTGTGTGCCTGATTGTGGCGGTAATTACGAATTCTCTCTAGTCTTTCCCGTCTAATATTTCGGTGTAGCAAATTCAGGCATTCTCGATCCAAGCTAGATTTACCGTTTGAAATAAGGTGGCCCCGTAAAGCTCGTATGCTCATCTGAAGGCAAATAAAGGATATGTCACTACCACAACTCAGATGAATTTAGCCAGTGAAATGCTCAAGTTGTAATAGATTGCCCAGTTAGAATTTCCAACTAGCCTGCGTTCCTTGATGCGGCTTGATTCTGACCAATGCTCTGGCAAAATAAGGGATCTCAAAAACCAGGATTTGTGATGTTCCAACACTACGATATGGATGGTAAACGCTGCACATCTCCATTGATCAAGTCAACAGATGAAGGCGGATGCATTCTATTTCAAAAATAGACTGCTAAAGCATTCAAAGTCAAACGAGTATCAAAGTCATACTTAATATTTTGACAAAATAAAAGCCGCCTCTCTTCATGTTTACTTCAGCATCGTTCGTCCTACAAAATTGGTACCCGCTTTTTTATTCCCCACAAAGAGGAAAATATGCGCTGGTGCAAGATTTTGCCTTCCACGTTGCAAGTAGGGCACACTCTAGGCCATTAATACCGGTTGGGGCGTGCCTGCGTCTACCGTCAAAGCTTCCTCCCTCTCCCTCTTGCCCCTCCCTTCCCGATCGATCAAGTTGCGCGCGCACGCGCGCGTGCCCACATTCACCCGCGGTTGCACAATTCTCCTGGGAAGGTTGCCAATGGCAACCCCAACAAGGCAAGGTCACAGAAGCCACAAATGCAGCGCCTGTCAAATCAATCCAAAAGTCGATTAATTATATTGCAATGCGTTTTGGTAAAGGGGCCACTTAAGGCCTCCGTCAATGCACCTCCATCAGGCGGTTTGCCCTCCGGGCTATGCCAGTAGCCCCATCAGCCCTCCTCCACGTCGATAATACCTGTTCTGTCCGCGTATTGTGTCTTCCTTTGTCGTTAGGGTAATCTTCAAGCACTATGACATCATCCATATCCAGCCCTGATTTAAAATTGCTTGGTAGGTAGCAATGACTAACGCATGTGCGACAGACAAAGGCCCTATGGAACACGTGGAGAAACAAACTGTAGCAGCAAGGTTTGCTTGTTTACTCTTCATTGTGTGCGTATGTGTGGAGTTCGGCTACCATCTTGTTGTCATAACGTTCCATCAATATTGCGTCTGTTAACAGCTGGGGCGCTAAAAAGATGTGGCCAAATATAATACCTATCATTATCAGAAGAAAACTGGAAATTAAAAAAACAGTGCTATTTCAGGCAGCGTAAAATATCAGGTGATACACTACGGGATTGTCTTAATAGATGTGCATGGGGTTAACAACTTAGCAATAATGATGTTGGATGTAAAAGTTAGAAGTAATATTAGGTAGAATAATTCCTATGTACAAAAAGCGTGGCAACATTATTATTATTAGTGCTATCATCATCATGATGCATCACCATCACCACCATCATCTCCCGAGAACAGGTCATTCGGCGTAGGCGTGGAAGGGCTGACAGGGGAGGAGGCGTCCACGGTGGTTCGAGGAGGTTCTCCAACGCCCGCAGCGATTGTGGCCACCCGGTTCCTGCTCATCATAGTCTCACTCTCCCCCTCCTCACCCTCCCCATCGGAGCGGGAGTCCTCACCCCCCACACTACCACCGACACTGCCATCACCAGATTGGCTACACGCGGCCATCGGTGCGTGAGAGGAGGAGGATGTGGATAAGGAAGATGCAGAGTGTCGCTGCTGGGGGCGATGGATCCAGAATAGGCTGTCTGTGGATGACGACGGCACAGCCAATGGTGATGGTGGTCTTCCCAGACGCTAAAATAATGAAACATGATTTAGTTAGCATAAATCAATGGAGACATTTAAATTAACAGTTGAATTTATCTACCTGGGGGTCAGTTTCACCATTAATATTGAAGGGTGCACGCGACTCGTCCAAAGCCCCGCGAGACCGATTATCTTCCGCCAGCAAGGAGTCCTGAGAATCCGAGGACTCTCTGCCACGAAGAAAGGCCATGCGATGCTGAAGGTTGGCGTCCATGCCCTCCAGAATCAATCCGAGTCCTGGAGGAGAAGTGATCAGAGGTTGTGGTGGTGATTGAGACGCGGCCTCCTCGTCAAATTCATCCTCCACCTCCTCTTCCCCCATCTGCTCTCCATCCATTTCTGATGGTAGTGGTTGCAGCAGCATTAAACTCACTCCACCTTCTTCTGCTGAAGCACCATCAGGATGCTGGAAGGCCAGCTCGACGTCTGATGTGCCTGCCCCGTTGCCACCAATGCCAACAGTAGGCAGGCCAAAAGTGACTTCAGAAGGGCTTTTAGAACAGAGAAAGATATTTTTTTCATTGAAATGATAACAACTATTGCAAAAATTTAGGAGAGCTTGGCTTACTCTGCCAGCGATTCCAATCCATCATTTAGGAGGTCTGTGGACAGCGCAACATTTCGTTCTGAGGGCTCTTCGTCCTCATCCACATCGGCGCCTTCATCACTCCCGTCATCTGCAAAGGACTCCTCTGTGCGAACAACGTTACTCATGTGCACACCAGCAAGTATGGGCTCATGAGCGCCATCCTGGATTGGCATTACCCTCTGACCGGGTATGGGCGGTGCACCGGTAGATTCGGGCAGGTTTTGCAGTGGTAAGGCATGGGCTCGATGACTTATTCCTACTGCGGGGCGCAGCGATTGTGGTGGTGATGGAGGCGGTAGTGGTGTGGATAGTGCACTTGGGGTCGTGTGACCTTGAAATAGAGGTGTGACAATCTGTACGACCTGGGTTTGCACACTGCCGTCGCCATTGCCAGAGGCGACAACACTACGAGATCGGTGGGTGTATGACATTGTGCGAGGCTGAGGCAGGGAGGTGGTCAAAGAGCTTCCACTACCTGTGGGTGGTTCTGCACAGGAGAGAAAGCGAACCACACACATGCCCGTGTCACAACGCTCATTGTGCATTCGACTCTCCTCGTACAGAGTCCAAGTGTTGTCGATTGGATCAAAGGACTCCACCGTATTGAGGAGGCGGTTTCCGTTGTAGCTAAAGTGGAAAGAATTAAAGACTTTGACCACCAGATGAAGTACATATGGACTGGACTACTAAAAACGCTGGAGATGATAAGGGAGTAGTGGGAGTGCGAACTAACCCCGCAGCCACGTAGACACGTCCAGCAAGTTGGCAGGCGCCAACATAACAGCGAGGAACATTCATGTTGGCCACTAGAGTCCACTGGGTTAGACGTGTGTTATAGGCCTCCACGGTATCAAGGTGGAGAGGACCCCTACCCTCAGGACCGCCGTAGCCGCCACAAACATACAACGTATCCACAATCACTGCACAGCCCGCACCCGAGCGACGCATGTACATCGGCTTGCACTGACTCCAAGTACCCCGACGCAGGTCGAAGCTAGAGAGGAGCCCAAGAAAGCAATGGAGAGTGAGTAGAACCGGTTTTTTGACAATTGTGAGGAAATGGATCACTTACGCCTCCATACTGTTGAGCAGTTGGAACCCATCGTAACCGCCAAGACAGAAGAGCGTGTCATCTGCGACCACCAGACCAGCACCCTCACGAGCGGTGGTCATCTCCTCGAGCACACGCCACTCGTCGATTTTCGGATGGTACACCTCCAGAGCTCGTAAGCGCGTCTGCCCATCGAAACCGCCGCACACGTAGATTAATCCTTTGAAATGGAAAAACTTTGACTTAATAGCCGATAGCCCCACTTAATCCCGGCTCTCAGATGATGATGCGGAGCGGTGTCTGCGCTTGCAGAGGTGCATGTAAGTTACCCCAGTGACCGTGTCAGGCCATTGGAATAAGACCAAAGACTACTGATTCCTCTCTGAGTGAGCAAAACCCTCAATTTATAGGACCTGCCTGGATGCAAGATGGCCTTAGGTGAAAAAGATGTCCTGGGTTTTTTTTGAAAAAACGACAGACCTCACTGAACTCGACGGTTGCTTTAGCCATATTCCAACGCCTAATTTCAGGCATCGAATGGCAATTAAAAAAAAGAGGTTTAAGTGTATACATTAACCGGAAGAAGCGTCCACTTGAAAATAAGTAACAACTTTTAACCGATTGGAACAATGTACCGAATCATTGATTCGGCCTCGGAGATAGGCTAAGACACCGACCTTCATTGCACTGGTAAAAGTAATTTCAACATTATCAGAGTACACTCGGTGTTCAGAAATATAAAACAGACGCCCTGAACCAACAATCTCGAACCAACAACTCAAGGCTTTGTAAATAAGTTCTAACCAACACCGGTGCCCTAGCATGACCTATGCAGTAATTTTCTTGAGACATGCACCAAATGTTGGAAAGACGAAGTGAATAAGGCGCTTGAAACGGCAGTACCTTTGTGCGTGCAGGCGGCTGAAAGCCCCCGTTTGTAGTGCATAGGCGCAAGCCAACGCCAGCCGTCCTCGCGCTGAGCGACGTCCAACAGACCCACCGTATTCAATCGCTCGCCTCCGTCGAAACCACCAATCACGTAGACGCAAGTGCCCAGCGAGCAGGCCGCTACGTAGCGATAGCTGATCGGTAGATTCTGCAAGGCGAAGTGGTCTACCCGGTATCTTTCCCTATGCCTTATGAGAATTATTGAAGGAGTCAAAAAAGATGGTAGAGTGAACACGAGAAACTCATGTTAGTTACTGCCATTGTCTCCATTCTCCTGCACTTCAGTCCCCATTCTGGATGTCATAGGCCCACAGACCACCCAGGCCTTTTACATGTCAATAAGCCTTCCATACTGATATGCCTTATTACATCTTCATGGACGACTCAGAGTACTACATTGGTGACAGTGATCTAAATAAACGGAAATTCTGACTTCACCGACTGGACATAAAATCTCAGTAGCACAGGATGAAGATGTCTGCTATGGATGGCTGAATCTGCGAAGGTTCACCATACTGACTTCTGGGGAGATCCTTGAAATCGCGGTCTGTGCACTGGTTAAAAACAAAGTGGGAGCAGTTAATGAACTATCCATGATTTCGCTATGAACACAGCGATTTGCATCGGTCCCTAGGGTCACGAAACCTTCCTCGTCAGGTCAATTTAAAACCTATGTAACATCGATACATGGAATACCCTCACTGTACAACATTTTCTCAGATGTTTTCCTCGTCAATACTCTTCTGCTCCTCAAAGGACACGATGTGGAAAAGTCGCATCCAAACTGAACCCAGAGCATCCAATACAACGGATAAAATAGATAACAACCTACCCATAGTCCAGTTTTATCACATCATTTCCGCCTTGCAACTAAACAAAGTTTACAGGAAGACTTATAGACACTCAAAAAAGCCAAAGGATTCAAGAAATCGGGATGAAATTTACACTAGTAACGCTTGCGCCATCTCTACGTCCTGACGTTTCCTCCATGTAAATGTAAACGAGATAATACCGACGTGTATTATTACGCCTTCAATGATAGTCCGGGTCGCAAAAAGATGTTTGAGGCAAGATAAAATCATCTTAGTAGTCACCATGATTTTATAATAGAACTTACAATTAAAGTAGCGAGGAGTTTGGACAAGAAAAAAACCATGAATCCACGTCTCTTGAGCGTACGAAATTTAGCAATAGGAAGCCCATGTCATTATTGCCAGTACTGTGTTTAAACAACTACTGACTAAACGTCGGTAATGAGAGAAACGAACGGGCAACTCGCTCCACTCGCGGGTACGAGGATTGAACATTTCAACAGAATCCGAGGGGCTTTGATAGGAGCCGAAGCCACCAATGACCACCAAGTATTCATCGCCACCATCACGCTGGTGAAATCGGCGCTGGCGCATCTGGGAGCGGAGGTCAGGTCGAAGGTGAAATCGCTTTGCCTCGTCTACGAGGTCACGACACTCCAACGACTGACGAATGAGGCGCTGCATGCAAAAGGAAGCACGCATTTAGCCTTTCAGTGATCTGAAACAAGACGACTAGTGCTCCTTCCTCCCCTCACTCACCTCGCTGTCAACGACGTCGGTAAGGAAACGGACTGACATTATTGCCAGACGAACGTAGTTTAAGAGATTGGGGAGGTGGACAGATCGGTTTGGTGCATCATAGTAGACCCAACGGATCACAGCGTTGTAGGCGGTCTCCTCACTATCGATCTGTAGGACAAGTGCATGGTTCTTTAGCGATACCACTCGGAAGTGAACAAGTGGCAGGTGATAACCACTATGTATCTTACGCAAGAGGAATTAATGAGATTACGCGGCTATTTTGATTTAAAAATCAGCTAGCTCGATTATGACTCCCTCGCACCAAAAAATATTAGGAAGTGAAAGGGATGAAATTGAGTAATATTACAACAGACCCCATGTTCCCTAGTGTTCGAAGGTAAACAGAAGGTCCTCTCCGACTGACAATTTCTTAACCAATAAGTATTTTGTCTAACTCAGTCGAATCAATTTATTTAAATTACTGTATAAGTATCTGAACTAATCAAAAACATCATAGCACCATTTACTGAAAGTAGGGTCGACAGCACTTGCCTTAATAATGGTTGAGAGCACAACTTTAATACTGTTGCTGCAGAAAGCACCTATCACCAAAATGAAAGACTTCTCCGTGATTTCTATCCAAAACGTAGCCTACACGGTTGTAACTTAACAGTTCTTTTCTTAATTTGACGCCTCGGAACTAAATAGGAGTATTTCCAAAACGCCCCGTCTTCTAAACAGCCATTAAAACCGGCCTCCACAAGTCCCAGTGATGGTAAATTGGCTGCGACTTCTGAACATTCGGGGTTCTTTCTGAAGGTAGGCGTTTGTATTAATGGCCGACTTAAGCAACAAACCAGCATTACAAGAGCTAGAGTCTAGGTCTAGCCAATGCTGAAATAAAAAAGCACAGCACCTAAAACGTCGTCGTATTTGAATATAAAAAGATGAAAGGAGACTCATCACGTTTCAGTCAAGCAACGTCTAACATTGACTTTAAAATTAAATGACCTTACACTGCAGAGAAAAACTGATTCATACCACTTACGATAATTGGTTAAAAACAGCTCCCATGCAAGTGATTATTAACAGTGACCTTAAATTTAAACTATTAGAGGTGCTATTCCTAAAGGTCAATATGCGACCCGTTTTAAAGCATAGTGAGCTCCAAATAATCAGGCTAATGAAATGATTCACCCGTTCTATGCAAGGTATCACAATGCGCCCCATTCGTTTAATAATCTTCCATCAAAAGCGCGGCGTGTGATTAATTCGGTGTGGAAATGAGATATCCGCGGTCCCTGGAACTAATACATTGAACACAGTAAATGAGAACCGCTATTTTAATCTTTTAGCTACTGTACCCTAAGTCTGTCCTTTTTCAAAAGTATAATATTAGGTGAATGAGATGAAAATACAGAAGATAATTGAGGACTTATATGGAACATAAAAAATGCATCTTTAGATGGCACATGTGATTATAGCGGACATCGATGTGATTTTACAACAGCAAATCAAGATATTCGGGCCGTAAATGCCATGTAAATGTTTAAAAACACAAGTTATGCAAATGTTGTAAGGGATATTAATGACAAACAGTGGATAAGTGTGCTTACATGCAAATCCTCCCGCCTAAGGAGTTCAATGAGTTCGTCAGCGTTCATCAAAAGAAACTCCTCAAATTCAACAACTGTTTCAAAATTATGTGCAGCATAGTTCTTCGCGAAAACCTCAAGATCTGTACAGCTGTGAAGTTCAGCGAATCGCCGAATCCCAAGAACGTTAGAAGCTTCGACTTGACCGAAAAGAAAGGCAGAGCAAACGGCTTTTACGCCTTCCATTTGGACGAGACTGGCGGCAGGAAGCAACTCCTGCACGTTTTCCATGCTAACTCGGACTTGGCCTGTGTAAACAAAATCGAGAAGTGCCTCCATGACGTCCGCCGATACGGATTTGAGTTCGATTTCCAACTGTGCAGATTCTGCCATCTTTCCAGACAAAGAATCTCAACTCAGATTATAACGAAATTTAGTATAGGACCAATGTCTCAGGCTTAAAATCGCAATGCCGTAATTGTAATCAAAATAAATATATCGATTTCTCACAAAAAAACTACACAGGAAGTACCAACTTACGCCATTTGAAAACATAGCGCCGAAATAGTCACTCGAGGCGGCCAAAACAACACGATGTGCAGGGAACACTCTTCCACCAACCTTCACAACAACATCACATAGTTGCCCCCTTTTTCGAAACATGTTCATTTTGGCAAAAGCATTCAATGAGTATCTTTCTGCATCCGAATCTGAAGTATTGGAATCCAGTAATCAAACTTTGAAAACATAACCAAAGTCATGGGTGACAACATAATACATTCCATTATTTGACTTTACACAAACATTAGGAAAAAAATGGAATGGTAAAATAGGTCCTAGTAAACACCATAAAATAATATAAAGAGCATTTTTGGCTACTGTATGTTCCTTAAACAATAGTCAACGATGCAAGGTATCTTCACCAAATACTTGACACAGGGACTCACTTTCACGTGAGGATTGATTGCACACGTCGGTTTCAGCCATGGCAAAAGCAGTAGTTATTGTTAAAATGAGTCTCAGTCCATAAACAGCCCAAGACTCATAATAAGAAAGATTTGAACTGCGCCTTCGTGATAGGCAAAACAAAACAAGGCGTATACGACTGAGTAGAGTAATGCAGAAACTGGCAGTTTTTCGTTATGACTTCTAAAACTGATCGAAATTAAAACAACGTCTGTATTACTCGAGGTGAAATCACTGTCAACAGATATGCCTTAGATCTAGAACTAATTTGTCAAAATACAATGCTCATTTCTTGTTGAACCTGATTAAAACAAGTTCTTCTGACTATTCATGTAGGGTTATTTAACCTGGTTTTAGCTAAAATATTTTGACATTTTCATGGAGCTTGTTTACCCCTTTGTGCTCCAAAAGTTCCTACTGATATCATAAACACCATGGCAGTACTTAAAAAAACGTACTGCTGATGTACAGAAGGAATGAGAGGCTACTGGCATCACCTGATGCCCATGCTACCAAATGCAAATACAATCAGTCAATACCTAATTGCCCTCGTAATTCAATGCACGGCTCAAAAAACTATTATGGCATTGCAGTGGAGCTCGCACTTCTTACGTCTTAAGTAAATGGCATGAGAAGTGCTTCATTCACTCATCTTGTGCATCTCAGAAACGCGATTACCTCCGCCAAATACCTTGTTCTCCTGTTGGCTAGTCATTGTTTTATTTGATTTTAAGCTGGGACACCGCGAATACGACAAATTAACCTACTCTTCTTCCGTATGTCTAAAATCATATCTACAATGCTAATTATTGTCTCCCTGTTCAAATTCCCCACCACAAGTAGTTTTTTAAAACAGCAAAACAGCTTAACTCCTTAGTGTGAGAAAAGTAACAATGACTTTTTCCTAACTTCATTGGAAAAGCAGGTAATTTAAAAATCTTGCGTGACTCAAAGTTGGCTCATACAAATTTTAAACGATTAATAATATTGAAGCATAATTCGGTCTTCAAGTGTCGGCTTTAACGGCGACAGCTCTTCGTCGAGCTTCGCTTCCACGACGTCCTCCATCATACTCTCGGGATCGGTGTAGCTCTTGGGTTTCATGAACGCTGCCTCATCCCTCAGGGGATAAATTGTGAGATGATGGAAAACCCTTGGATGCGCTTCATTTCTCATCAAATCCTCTTCACTCAGTGCCAATCGCACATTTCTAAAAAAACCCATGTAAAAATCTACAAAATATGCCACAGTGCTGCTAATTCCTACATTCAATTGAGATACGATTCCGTATTTTGCGTAGAAAATATTCCTAGCACAGTGCGTTCCGCATTCCCATCAACTAATATCGCTTATTTATCTACAAAGTCAAATGATTTATAGGAGTTGATTTTTGGGGATTTTGTTCATTTTTTCCCATGGTAATAAACTACCAAAGTGGATTTTGCCTCGATAGTTAAGTCTTCAACGAAATTCTCCTAAATAAATGACAACCTACTCTTTGATATCCATCTCGCTGAAGAGACTTTCGGGTTCATTCAGAGCTTCTGCTATAGACTTGTATATTCCTACGCTCTGAGACTAGAAGACAAAGGCACGACGCTAAATAAACACACTCGCAATAATACATTCAGAAATGGATTTTTAACTTACAGACGGTTCACCGAACAGTTTTCTTGCGTAATTGTCAAAGTCTGCATCCTGTCCTACTTTACTGGGTTTTGTACCCACACGGCTTGAAGTGGCCTCCTGACGGATTGCTTGAAGCTCCGGAACGGCGTGAGTTCGTGGGTCCATCAGCACATCAAACGGCCCCATTTGTCGGCTCGCTGAAATCACGTTCGCCATGTTCCACAGTGTGGGCTGGCCAAATGTCCCGATGAAAGCACCGCTCCATGACCACAAACGTGCACAACAATCGACAGACGTGGTAACCAGTAACTGCCTCGTGTTGACTGCTTCTGTGCTGGTAACGCGTTCCGTGTGAGCTCTCCATGTGTGCAACTCTATCCGTAAATATGATGGACTGTTTGTGCACACTCTTTTAAATAAACAGGTTCAATTAGCATTTTCAGAGGTAGGTTTCAGCCTATCGCTATGCTGCACTACAAATGAAACTCTAAAACCTGTCAACATGCCAACCAGTTTGCCTGAGACACGATTTGGTGCAGTTCCGTATCAGTGATGTATGAAATCACGTCAAGCATGTGTGGCACCGAGTCCGGATGTAAAAATTTGGATTTCACATATATGCGATTCGCCAATATCAACTCACTTGGTGGATGAGTCTTTTCAGGCTCGCGTAAGCAGTAGCTTTTGATGTCCCAAACTTGAATCCATCCTAATTCGTCACCAGTAAAGAGGTAGGAGTCGGTTGTTTTCTCATCCTCAACTAATAGTCCCAAAGCCATTGTTGTTGCTGCTACATTCTTGATGGGGGACTAAATAAGAGCTCAACTTGTCGTATTTTGCAAACCTACTACATGGAAGGAAGCGTAGTGAGATTCACTGGCATAGAAAGCCCAGAAGTGAATGATTTCACCTGGTCCACAGGAGACAAGATTAGCTGCATCTTTTAAGTCCTTCCTACTTTCAAGAAATGCCAATCCAGTCAAACTTTGCTTTTGATGACCTGAAAAAACAGTCAGTACGGATATAAAGTATGGGCTACTCTTTGCATCAACCTGCTCTTCAAGACGCTTCAAAACATGTCCACTGACAGCGTTCCAGACACAGATTTCTCCGCCAAAGTCACCAGTTCCCAGAAGATTTGAGCGTCTTGAGACAGTTATTTCGCAGATATGCTCATGATGTCCCTCCACTGCAGTGCCATCTTGACGCCAGGGAGGGAGAAAATGTTGCTCAATCTCACCACCTCCTTCTCCCCAAACTGTTTCTAAGTCGTCTTGGTAAAGTGTTACCCTCGTATTCCAGCCAACAACTGCAATGTACCTAAGGAGTTATCAACATTCGGGATTAGCACTAACAGCCGGCTTACCTTCCTGTTCCAATGTTTACGCATTCAACTGCGGATATTATATATCCATCACTGTGTTCCACTTCTATAAGAAAAAGCGTCACCAGATTTAAACGACTGAATAAGGGGTAAAGTAGCATCGAGACACAACTTACTGGGTCGTAGCTCCAGTAAGCAAGCGCCGGAGTGATGATTCCAAATACGCACAACGCCGTCTCTTCCACCTGTTATGAGTCGCCTCTCGGTCAAGTCAAAACACATGCACGTGATTGGCTCCCCATCATGTGCGTCGATGACCTCGGAAACCAGTTGGCCAGTGGCGAAGTTCCATACACGGATGCTCTGTCAAGTGGGGGATCCGTTTTAGGGGGGAGTAATCTTAAGGAGTGTGTTCTCTCCTTTTGCTTTCGTGAACAATATACAAGTTACTGGTTCATAAGAACGATAGTTTTGGCCTAACAGATGATATTCAAGAGCATAGTAATGGATTGAACTAATCAGGCTACCGAATCAGCAGATGCTGTAATCAGTTGATTGAAGGTCCGATTGTATTTGCACTGGTTAATTTTCGCCTTATGAGATTGAATTGGCTCCCACTGTAGATATTCACTGAAAGTAGCACACGATAAAGACAGAAAAGTACCTCAGGAAGTAGAAGTAATACCTTAGACAAACACTATCAAACAATAGACTATGCAAAGGAGGGTGTGGAAGAAGGATTCTAAGATGACGCCAAGTTAACTCAATTTCAGTTAGTCTACTTAATTAACAATAAGTAGCTTGTGTAAGTTACCAAATAGATAGGGATACTTTTTTCGCAAAACGGAGTGATTTTTACAAAAAACGGCAGTTTTTATGCTTACTGAGGTTTCGAGTTCATGTATTCAGAAGAATAATTCTCTGAGGTGGTTCCGAATAGGCATCCACCATAGCATTCCCAAGACTGATGGCGCTCCGTCCACAGGCGTTCTTCAGTCGATTTGCTGTAAGGCACTACGATAGCATCATCGTGGAAGGCCGTTTGCTTCTGCTTAAAAAGTGTTCTACAGCTAACTTTTTTTCAAGCCTGACGAGTGAAACGTCATTGGCAACAATCAGGAGGGAACACGCCGAGAAAGAGTACGCGCAGCTTTGAAGATCGCCTTGTTTTTTTTCACCGACTTTTGTGTAAAATGTTGTCAAACAGGCATAGCTATCCAGGTCCCAGATCTGGAAGTCAAACTATCAACTGCCTACATGTCTGCTTAATTTTATCCCTTGAATAATAAACCTTTCATTCCATAATTCTACAAAATAGGTATGAAGTGGATGTATTCTAGACTTTTACATTTAAAGCAGCCTACTTGCCTTAATGCAGCTGGCCGAAGAAACGCTGATTAGGGTGCTGTCCTCGATATTTACTCGCAAGAAAGACAATGGGGACGCATGGCCAATCAATTTCCCGATCGGTGACCTTGAAATATAGTGAAATGCTATTGGAAGTAGGTAAGATTAAGGTAGGAGGGCGGAGAGATGGGAAGACAGATATGTGGTGAAAATTAAACATAAATGCAAAGACAGAATTTAACTCACGTTGTAATGTGGGGGTTCCAAATTCTTATAATTCTATCCATACCTAAATAACCGGAGGAGATGAGATAAGGAGAGGTTAATCTTACCGCCTGTGACAAGGATGTTCATTTCCTTAGAGAATTCAAAGAACCTTGCTCCTTTTGGAATCATGAACACCCTTTCCTCAAATGGATCCCGTTTTTTAGAAACAAATATGGAAGAAAATCGGCTTGATGAAATGCTTGTGATTCTGGAAGCTGGCCTCCTTGAAAAGAGTGTTCTAGAAGAGCCTGTTAATTCAAAAAGTTGGGTCTTATTATCTTTACTCTTTTTGAACTACAAAGTAGTTGTTTACTTTCTTGACTTCAAAAGATGCTCTCTTTGAGCAGGGTAAAACAATTTTACATAGCCTCTGGCAACATAGTGGTATACTGATTATAGGGAGTAGCTTATGAACTTCTCGAAAATACTTTGGGTCGGATGCCACGATCTAAAACCCATTTAAACTATTTTTTGACAAGGATGTCCAACAATGAGTATGTAGCTCTCGAAAAGCAGAAAAAATCCCAAGCGATGTCAGAAGCATTTATCCTGCGCCGAACGACATACTTTTAGGATTCATGCTTACCTGGGTGACAGGGCATATATTGAGCTTCCTGTGTCAAATTTGTCATCACAGTACTCTATTCCACAAATTTTTACCCACAGCCCCCTAGTTGTATCTATGCTTAATCTTAGTACGGGTTTTTAAGGGCTCAAAGGTCTTAAAATATTCAAAAGAATTAGAGCGATTTGAACAGTCCACGTGACTTGTGCAAACTTATCTGAGTTCTTAAGAAATGCGCATCCTTTTCTTTTCGGCATTTCGAGTTACCAAAGGTAGGTGACTGAGCTGCATAAGAATCGAATTAAAGTGGTAGGAAGAAGTAAATACTTGGAGTGGCTTTAAGGGTTGTCTTATTTTGTCTTATTTAGTGATCCTACTTTTGTAAAAGCGTTAAAACAATGAGCTGTAGGGGATCAAAGTTTTTTTAAGCAGCGCAAAGTAGGCGAACCTTCAGACCGTGGCCACAAAGGCCGTAACTATGCACCCATTGAAGTTCACAAGACACAAACCTCTCCATTACTTGAAGAAAAATCATTGAAGAGCATCAACTACTTTGTAGATGATGCTTAAAAGATGAGAGGACTCCAAACAGAAAGATCTGTTTTCAGATTGTGCTCTGTAGGTATTGATTAACGACTTAGTACCACGGCTTTCTGTACCTGACATTTCTGTTATAAGCCTACCAGACCTTCCGGCTTTTGAGGTGTTGGCAGACTTATCTTATTTAAAACTCACTGGTAGTTTCACTCGATGTGATATCTCGTTTACGACGGATAAGATTGGATTCATCGCGCCATGGTGGAGTAAATCCAATAATTCGCCCTAGGAGATGAAATGTGAAATTAGGTGATAAAATTGTCGGCCTCGAGATCAAGTCAAAAATTGGGTGATTGGTGAGAAAAGAGGTCGAGACGCTATTGGCGAAAAGGCAATTTCATAGTATTTCCACTCCACTATGCAACACGGCAAATCACATCCGTTTGAAGCGAAATGCCAAACGTCGAAAAAACTTTTTTCTAGCCTTAATCAGATTATTTGTTTTACAAATAACAGTAAACGATTAGTAAAAGAGCCCTTAAAAATTGAATTATTTGATGTTACCAGTTTTTTTGTTTTCAAATATCTCCAAATTTATATCTTTGTAATGTTGCAATTCTATGGTGTTTTAATAGCGCAATAATGCAATATTTACACCCATCAAAATTACATTAGACAGTGTGAGATCTAAAAGTGCGTTTTTTATTAAAGCACATCGTCCAATTTGGGAACAAAGATTTGAACTCACCAATGACCACCGCGGTGCCCTCGTGACTGCAACAACTTATTACTGTTTCTTCAGACTCCTCGACCTGGACCTTGAAATTTGTTTTGGTTTTATAGAAACCCTTGAGACTTACACAATTAAGCCACGTATAATGCTACCAAACTCTTAGCTTAAAAAAAGCGGCATAAATTTAGCATTTTCTCAGACCCATCCAACACCAACTGCAATGTTACCGCTTTTGTGTGGGTAGATATTGTTATCTTTTTGGTTGTGTAAATGTCTGTACAACTAACATACTTTAGCAGCCCATTCATTGTGAGTTTTCCAACGAAGGAAGGAGACCTTCGGATCCACTACCACAGCACTGATACTCATTTCGGGTTGTACTTCCATCGGTTGCAGCAATCGCCATCCATGCAGAAGATCAGCCAAATCTCTAAGCAAGAGGATGCTTATGTTTCCGCTGGAATCGCCCCAAGCTATTGCATGCTGTTTTTTATCCAAAAGCTTTCTGAAGAAAAATATAGCAATAAGTCCACTTAATCGCATTGAGATCTAGCATGGTATATTCTGGGTATCCATGTGGTGTTAAATGAGGGAGGAAGGCTTTGCATAGATTCAAAATGGAAAATTAGTGTTTCAAATGTTCCTTAATTCCGTTCTTTTTGTACTTTAGAGATTATGCATTTCATGTGACGTAGCAGCAGTGACACGGGCCTTCACCAAATAAGTTAGCTTAAAAGTTTGCTATTTCCAAACGCAATTTTAGAACATAGTAGCCGTGGATCATCCAGGGTAGTCTTGGGGCTCTACATTGATGGCAGCAGAAAGTGAACCCTATCATAAAGTTCAACCACCCAGATTCCTGTTCCTGAATGCTAAAACTTAACATGAAGAAAGGCATGCACTGAGAATAAAAGAGCCTGGGATGACACCCAACGGAAGAGGTGAAAATGCCCTCTACCGTTGGCATCCACCTCGCTCCCGTGTTCAGTAGGAGTGCTATTAACAAAGGAAGTGTCACTAGCCTTGAAACGTCCGGAATAGTTCGTTACGAAGCTTCCTACGGAACCTTAATGAAGATGATTGGGATAGCACGCGATACCACCTTAAACTCTTCACTAGCTGGACAGAATCCTGAAAGATATGGCTGGACAGTACAGAAGCGAGAATAACGAGGTGAGGAGGAACAGACGAAGGGACTCTTAGACGACGTTCTTGCCACTAGCGATGAACCAATAAGATAGGTAGCACATTCGCCTTCCTCCAATACAGTTCCCACACAGCACGAAACTCCAGACCCAGTGGAATCACCAAGAGGGATCGGTGACGTTGCGCTCAAATGTCTTTTCAGTTGTGCGCAAATTCGATGACTGGTGCGGTCGGTTCATTGGTGCTTCCCCTTATCACACCGACTACGTTGTGATTGCCAACGTGGAAGGTTGACCAAAGGGAGATCGATAGGGACGACACTCAAAAGGAGGAGGGGTCATGCAATATACAGGTTGTTTATTTAGCTCTCGGTTTTGGTATAAAGGCACCTAGAGGCTCCGCCAATGTACTTCCGCTGGGTGGCATGACCTGCAAGCCACACGAGTAGCCCCTAGCCCTTCTGTAGGTTTTCTTGCACCTTCTGAGAAGTCTCGAGGTACTACATTAGAGTCTTTCTGTTATTCTTCAACTATATTGTAAGTATCTCAGGCACTTATTTCGCTACTTTATACCTTTAATGTTTACTCCTCAAAATGTATTCAAGGATAATCAAATTGGACCTACCCGTATGATAGGCATGTTGGTACAGTGTCCAGATCGTTGATGCGGAAATAAAATTGGTATCCAGATAGTTCGAAAAATTCCAGTTCTCTGTCACTAATAATTAATACAACTTAACATTCACTATTGCCAGTAGGCTTACCCAGTACTGACAATGAACTTGTTTACATCATTGAGAAACAAAAGGTCAGTGTACCACTTTTGCCTGCCAGATTGTGCTCGCGACCTACTTGGTAATCGAGTCGTTTGCCTCAGCTTGAAGTCGCTTGTCCACGTGGTGAGCATTCCATCCTTGGGAGAGGAATTTCAATAGCCAGTAAACGTGCGCTTACATTGCTACCGATGACAAAACCTCCGTTACTCCCCAGAGATATGATCCGTATGACGTGGTTCTTGTGAACCAATGGATAAACTCTGGTGTGAAACTGAGTTTTAGTGGCTTGACGAAGTTCCTTGCTCTTCAAACACTGCGCCTGTATGATAAACGTGCATATATCATCCCAGCTAATGCTTCCTTTGCCTTTCACGTCAATTTTGTTAAATAGTCGTTTTAACTATAGGAAAATAGCATGAGAAATGCCTTGTCCCCCCATTACCTGCCAATCGTTTGCTCTCGTCGAAGAGCCCGATAGAATGTCTCGGAAAACGGCGAATTCTACGTCGTCCTTGTCAGCTGACAAATTCTTGGCCTTGAGTGCTGCCTGGAAGCTTTCAAGATCGTCGACACTAAGCATGTCTAAAATCTGCTCACAGGTAAGTAAGATCAAGGGACTACGTCAATGTCATTCATGTTGCTAAAACGGTCGAGAGGGAGCTTGTTGGGTGTCCATGGTCGAGTGATTTCAGCAGTAAATTCTTCTGAAGGAATCGACCAAAGCACCAAACGCGGGGCTGATTTGGATCGCTTCATACCGCCGTCCATTTTTGAAGCCACCTTTTGTATTGTGATACACATCTCGAGCTTTGTGTCGTGGCTTTGTTTATCGTCAAGTTGACCTAGTAACCAAGACTAGGCTATTGGTTTTGTTGCAAATCTACTTGTAATTAATCAGTAATATATGCCTCACATATTGACATTGCTGATAAACCAAATTGGCTTGGCCACTTTGTTTAATGGATTTTTAGAAAGAAAAAAAAACACATGAATTTATGTTGCTTAGGTTGACAAGTATCTTCAACTTAAGGATCAAATGCAGTTATGGAAAAGTGATGAAAAATTTTGAACAATCAGGGCTCTGTAATGGTTTGATGAAATGGTACAAAAGATCTGAGAGGCTACTGCTATGGCCCAAAAACCATGTCGCGGAAGAGAGACCTTTAAGTGTCCGTGGAACCAAAACGAAAAGTTAAACAAATAATTAAAGCATTACTGAGCCCCTCTATCCTTTTGAGTGTCATCCCTGTCGATCTCTCCTTGGTTATCTTTCCATATCGGCCATCAGAATGCATTCGGTGACGTAGGGAGAAGCACTCACGAACCAACCACGCCAGTTATCGAATTTGCGCGAAACCGAGAAGACATTTGACCGCAACGTCACTGATCTCTCTTGGCATTTCCACTGGATCTGGGATTTCGTCCTGTTTGCGAACTGCATTGGCGGTAAGGAGGAATACACTGCCCATCTTGCATGTTCATCGCTAGCTGTAAGAACCCTGACTAAAATCGGAGTTACTTCGTAAAAGAGAGGACTATTAATAACTTCGTGAATATGAGGTTTCGTGTCTATTCTTCCTTGCCACTTTGTTCACACTTTGATCATGTCCAGTCACACCTTTTTGGATTCTATTTGGCTAGTAGAGAGGTGAGGGAGGTATCACTTGTTCACTTCACTGACATCTTAATATAGGAACTGAACTTCTCCAGATGGTTCACGGCTAGTGCCCCTTCATTTTTAGTGGCATTCCTGCAGAACACGGGACTGGTACAGTTGCCAAATGTAGACGTCATTTTCAATCCTTCTATAAGGGGTCGTTAGAGAGTCTCCCATCCGTAGGCCATGCCATTCTTCCTTAGCGTTCAAGCTTAGCATTTAGTAATAGAAATCCGGATAGCTGTCCTCTAGGAACGGATTTACTTTCCGCTGTCACCAATGCAGCGCCTTAAAATGAAAGAAAACATAACTATAGAACGGAATATGTATTGCCGACGCATGGAAGGGCTGGGAAAGGGGGGCGGCGCTAGCATGACGCAAAGGGCATTCCGCCAAGCAGAAGTACACTGACGGAACCTCAATTGCCCACACAAGCAAGCCAAATCGGTCTAATTACTGTTCTTAAGCAAAAATATGTAAATATCGGGTTCTAGCTTCGCATGACACAGTTAGCTGACAGCAGAAAATTCGACCAATCACTTCCACCTCCTAGATAATCAATTAAAAGTCGATGATCCAATTTAACGACCGGTCGCCTTGATCTCACCATGAAACAAATCTTCATGACCTTCTGTACCGCCCTGAGTCACCTTTGAGGTCGGAGGACATACTACTGATGTACAGAAGAGTCGAGGGCAGCTTTATCTGACCGCGTAATCAAAAAGGCGCTTCAAGCAAATAATGCAGACACATCGCTTGGCAATGGTTAATTCAGCTATTTTTAACAACTCAATCATGGACAAGACGATTTAATTCCACTATATGTCAATAGCTGTCACCTAAACCCCTCGACAGCCAGCTTTTTGAAACTACGTTGGAACATGCCCGAGTAACAACTACACAGCCTATCACAGTACCACTCGAAATTATGCAGAAAAGTGGGCGCAAATCCCCATATTCACTTCCGGATGCAAAGCTTAGGTACAACCTGGAAGGCAAACGAACAGTGGGAGGTAAAGCCAAGAGTAATATTTTGTACATATCACAGATGGAGGTGAGAGGCGAAACCCATTTCAGCCCATCAGGATGGAGTTTTAGACCTCGAACGAAGACATTTAACAACTTTTGGAATGACCTCCAAACGGCTCCGCACTTCGGCTGGCAGAGGTGTGGACGATGACGCAGTCGAGTAGACCTGCTCCTCTTCCTCCTCTCCAGCTATTGCCGGTGGATGGTAGCGGATGCTGTGGACTGTCGCTGTGGAGTAAACAACTACAAGCCGGGCGCCGTCGTTGAATTGAACTTGCAACTCCTCCGGAGAGGGCTGTGAGACCCACCCAACGGAGGGAACAAATACAGGATCGTAGTGGCGCGAGAAAGAGCGCGGCTGACTATCGCTGACCGAGGTACTGCAGCTAGCCACGAGCTGAGAGAGGCATGTGGATGAGACGGGGCCTTTGGATGAGGTTTTAGAAGCGGCGCAAGATCGACGACCAATTATTACGGGGAAAGGCGAGGAAACTTCTGCATCCAGCGGAGATAGGGCGACATTGAACTTCTCCAGTGAACTTTCAACCTCCAGACAGCGACGTCGGCACTTGGAAAGGAAAACATTGATAAGTACTTGGACAAATTCAGGTGATCCACACAAGGTAACTCATTGAGTGCAATGATTTGGGACTGAATTTCAATGAAAATTGCTCCGTTAATGAAAGCTTAGTAAGTTGGTGGGTTTAGCACGTCAGTGTTGGCAAAGATGGCCCGACAAAAAAACGGTCCAGCAATTAAAACGGCATGGGTGGGGCTCGCGCAACCAGCCCTGCTACAGCGCGTAAGCGATGACTCAGAGCATCTCCCTCAACAATTGCCCATGGCCGCTCAGAATAAGCGGATTTGCGATGAGTGAAGACGTGTCACCGGAATTCCATAATGATTTTGAGGAAACAAAAAGCAACGCATGTAGGCGGTCTCAAACGTCTACTCGGTAGAGGATGGAGTAAAAGGAGTGCATTTGGGTGAATGGGATACAAAGAACATTCAAATCAAGCTGCGGCTTTAGTTTGACGGCTATGAAAGAGATGTTACCGTGGTGATACCACATCCACAATTGCGCTCCATTGTGGGCCAGTTCAAGCACTGATGCCTGGATGGAGTAGCATGTGGTGCCAAAGAGCTTATGAAAGAATGGGTGAAACCCAAATCCATATGATATCAACACTTCAAAGGCATCTGTTAGTGGCGATCCCGACCGCGACGGAGCCCAGTGTGGAAGACACAGCAAATAAATCCTCGGAGCATTCACGGCGTGGGACGCCTGAGTCTGGATGCGAAAATGCACAACAGACGAGTGATAAAACCCGGAAGAGGCATACAAATTCAGCATTGGTAGCGAAGTGGAAAAGACAATCCCCGCCCCAATCTGACCCAAACATCCCACGTGCTTAACCAGTCCTCATTGTTGCGGCTCACCCTTTCTGCGTAGGAAATGAGTTCCCGAGTGGTAGTTGGCAGGTTGTCCAAAGGCTGTTTGCGATCAACAGTAACGGTGCCGTTGGTCTGTGTAATGACCTGCACCGTTCCGGTTGCCTCACCACCGAGACAGATAACCCGACTACCGTCTGTAAGCACCTCCATCTCAAAGTCCGCCTGAGGCTCCACCTTCTCCATTAGAATACACTTTGCTCGCGATGTGTACAGCGTCACTTTGGGTGTATGAGCCTTGGCCATATTTATGAATCTAGCAGAAAAAAATGAAATAACTCCGTCAATAACGCCGAAAAGCCAGTGAATTTGAAGTGAAAGCAATAAAAATAAACATTTGTACCTAGCAAATGGAATTAAACTTGATCACACATTAGGAGTAATCAGAGTTCGCTTGCGCTGCTTAAGATGCCAAAACAATAAGGAAACTTCTATTGGCTGATACACGAACCATTCAATCCAGGGACAAAGAATCTCAGTCTTACTTGGACACAAACTGGTACTTCTTCCAGTACTTCTCAGGGAGCTGAGCAAGTCTATATACTCCATACGTGTCGCCAGAGCGGGCTGCTACCGGGCTGTTCGTATTTGGAGGCACCCCACGTCCTCCATTAGGGTGATAGATAATCACCTCCTGTCCATCAGCCGAAATGCCCATCACTTCGACGACGAGCTTCTGTTGATCCACCTGCGGGTCAAAAAACTCCAAACAGACCGACTCATCAGGGAGAATGTTGATCACTGCCATCCGTGTGACTGTGCGCATTGGGCGCAGGCGACAGGTACAGAGAGGTGAGAGTCTCGGCTGATGTGAAATGCGCTGAAGATTTCCCACTGAGGCGGAACGACAAGGAGAAGGCGATGAGGTCGCAAGAGATAGGCCTGACATACTCTTTGAAGGAGGAAGAAGGTGTTGTAGAGAGCCACCGCGCAATCGCGTGGCAGAAGTTGGCGGTTGGTGACCTCTAGAATCGAAGGGGGTCAGAGGCGTCTGGTGACCAGATTGCTGGTTCTGCGTCGAACGATGCATATCCACTGACAGGCGGGAGGCTGGACGTGGAGGCAGAATGCTCGCACCCGGTCGGTAAGGCAGGGAGTGACGACTGTTTGCAGTGGAAGCTGTAGTGGTTGTCGTTGCAGTGAGTGAGTTTGACTGCATTCCAATGGTGGGTGTACGCGACATTGAATCGATCCCACTGTCTCTGGAGTGCTCCTGGACAAAGGTGTAGTGGAAAAACATAAAATACAGCCTTAACTCGCAATGTAGTTGGTCAATATTGACATTTGCTGAGATATTAAATGCATTCCTTTCGTTGATAAAAAAGAGAAAAAATGTGACATTAGCTTCACCATTTTACGTCGAGGTGTTGTGCTCCTAGTGATGAAGGGATGTCTGATCATATCGGAGAGTTTGATACGATCCTGCGGTTGCTTCCGCAGGAGTTTGGCAATGAGATCAGAGCAATCGGGAGAGAGATGTTCAGGCATTTCATAATCCCCGGCGATTACTCGACTCAGGGTACTTCTGACCTCGCGCGTATCAAATGGAGGATGACCCACCACTAGGGTGTAGAGCATGCAACCAAGAGACCAAACGTCCGTCTCCAGAACCTGGTGACCTCGACTTGCCACCTCACTGGAAATAAAACACATTGAGGGGGTTGGAGGATATAGCATAATATCCCTGAACAGGTCCGTTCACTAAAAAATAGGTGCGTCGAGACTTACGGTGAGATGTAATTAGGTGTGCCACACATGGTGGTGTGATCTTCACCAGGCTCAATTTTGGTCGCGAGGCCGAAGTCAGCGATTTTCTACAAAATGATCATTAAGTAGTTTGTAATTCATGTAAACCGCCAATTTGAAAGTACTTTAACAGCCCGTTTACCACTTTCATGTCCTTTGTCAGCAGAAGGTTAGCCAAAGTGAGATCTCTGTGGAGGATGTTGTGTGAATGAAGGTAGAGCAAGCCACTGATGATTTGCTTCATATAGTGACGAGCTGAAAAGAGAAATGCTGGCTAAAGTGCACAGAATATAGCAGTATTCAACGAAAGAAGTCCCCTTCAGCTAGCGTAATTAGGGGTAAGATTTTACCCGGGAATTCAGTGAGCAGTGCTTCGAGAGAGTGACAAAGGGTATGGAATTAGAGAAATGACCTAGTCAAGAAGTCAATCAATGGTAGCATCTTGATCACCAACTAAACTTATTTAATATGTCTTAGAATAATCCCAATCAGGGGTTACAACAACCAACAGGCATTGGAGTAGGAGCTTTCTACTACCAATCAGTAGACTCAAAGCAACAGAGCGAACTAGTGGCATTCTGAATGACAACAATTTCCTGAATCCTATCTGGTGGTTTCCACCAGCATTCACTTATAGCGTGACCGACTTCAAAAAAACGCGTTGTGTTCTGCTTCTTTTGTCGAATTTTTGACATTTTGACAACCAAGTGCAAGGATATACCATTCCGGCCACGTGACTCCATTTTCAGGAACCACTGTGGTGTATTGCACGTCCGTTCAGTATCCCTGACTGGAAACTCTTATGACAGAGTAATAAGTCAATGGAGATTGCTAAAAGTAATGCCCAAGTAATACTTAATTACGGTTTAATCTACAAAGACTCATTAGAACGAACATTTCCCTCAACTAATCGCTACCAAAAACGGATAATAACACCCACTTGTATCATACATCTAGGAAAGTTTGCCAAATCTGGGTAGAGAAAATTGGCATAGTATATGAGCACAAAGACATATTTACGCCATTTTCTACGTTATTTACCAATTTTGGACTCAGAACTGAACTTGGAGGCGATGTATGGGGAACAGCGAGCTTACCCATGTCCTCCGAAACAGATCCGTTCTGCCGAATGTAAGCCTGTAGCTCCCCATTGTCACAAAATTCGAGGACCAAGTAAACGTAGTTTGCATCTTCAAAGCATGTGTATAACTAAAAGAAAAAAAATGAGCTAGTCCGCTCATAATAAAACATCTAGCCCCGCAACTCTACCAAGTTTCAAGGTAACACAAGAGTCAAGTGAGATTAGTAGGAGACAACGAACCTCGAGAACCGCAGGATGCTTCAAACGACTGTGGATTTCGACCTCTCGTTGAACACGATGAGTGAGGCCATGTTGATGCATATATTTTTTATCAATCTAAACACCAAAAATAGATGTAATATTATCAAACAAAGGTTTGGATAATCAAAATGAAGCCTAGTGACACTCGACGAGAAATCAAGAGAATTGTAAGTAATCTTCAAAAGATGACAAAGCAACGTATAAAATTGTTTGAAGATTAGATGGTTTATTAGGAATGCACCCAAAACAAGAAACGTGAAATTGAAGCCCACCATTTTGATTGCAACCTCCTGACCAGTGATGACCGACTTGGCTCTATACACTTGCGCAAAGCCCCCACGGCCGAGGAGTTCAAAAACCTGAAAATCCTAAAAGAAGCAATGAATGCGAAGGTTATCACATATAAACAATGTCAGAGGTTAGACAACACTGAAAAGGAAGTCTTCAATGTTTAAAGGACTAATTACATGAAGACGTCTCTCGAGGTAACCGAAGCCAGGCGACATGATGAGAAAGTGGAGAGTAACGTACTATGCGCTCGCAAGGGTTATGTGGGATACTGAGTAGCTGTTGCTAGACGCACAAGTGACGCAATGTGATTCTGTGGTCACTGTGGCCTCTCCATTTACATGAATAGTCTTACTCATCCAAAGAAGACGGTCCACAAACCCACACGACGATGAGTAAGCACACGGGCCAGATATGTGACAGTACCGTAACGATTTATGCAAATAGCCGATTTCCAAATAGAGTGCCATAATGATACCCAACTAACACTCCTTTGCGTGTTCGGACATGTTCGGATAGATCCAAGGCTTTAAAAGGTTAAACGAGTACACATTCCGGAACCGAAGTCTGCTTCACCTACACCTTTCATAAGAAGATTCAGAACATCAGTTATCACTATCATAACACAAATCTGATGTAAAACCAGGCACCCATTGTTAAAAAGTGATTTTTTGCATTTCGGTAAAGTGCATTGGCAGCCAAATTTTTCTTAACTAAGAGAAGACAGCTCAAGGTTTTCATTAACCAAAGCAGGAAAATCAGGGCGTGAAAGTCCATCTAGTCGTTCAGAGCAAAAAAAGTATTGGGTAAAATATTCAATCAGAAAAAAGGAATTGTGAATTTTAGGAAGACTTCAACTTACTAAGGTGTTCAAGAGATGAATATCAAAAAAACGAGCCCGAAAAACAAAATCAGCATGGAAACCAGGAACCAAACGAAAGGCCGAGTAAAACACAAAAACAATGCAGTTTATAAGAGAAAACCCTTAAACGAAGGACACGTATAGACTATGGCAAAAAGCAGCAGTGGAAACAAATGCAGAACATGTTTATTATAGCAGCATTAATAATGCCGCGGCACTTACATCCTTTGAGGACCCCAACCCCTTTAAGTTTGGTTGAACGTACATCTAACTTCCTAATAGCAGTCTTCTACTTGCGAGCAGGAGCTGGAGAAAAATTTGACAACACACAGGGCTGAAAAACGAAGAAAGCAGGTAGTCGCCAAAGCATACAGATAGAGCGCGATTTGCGCTATGCGGCTAATAAGTCCATATTAACACTAGCTAAATTATCGCCCAGTATTTAAATTCAAATTTTAAAATGCAGATTTGGCTTTCTATTACTTGCCGAATTGTAAAATGTGGAATAACATGCCCCTCTAAGTGTACCCAAAGCCAACCTTTTGGCTCATTTCTAAAAAAAAATTCATGCGCAAACCTTTCTTTATACAATTTATAAATTTTATTTACCATCTTTTGCTCTAAGGTGGTTTCACAAACTTTCATTGCAGACTGCTAGGTTATGCTGCGTTGTCTCATTGCTTTGCATATTTCCAGACACAGATACGACTTTCAGACAAAAAATTTTTTAACTTCTTGGTAAATTGGTATTAAAGAAACCCTAATTCATTAGCTTGTTTAGTTCGCTCAATCGAAAAGTGTAATATCATTTTCCATGTGTCCATCAAAAATCCTATCTGCCTTTTTTCGTGAACAAACAAGTTAACAATGTACAGTTTTATTTATCTATCTTATTGAAAACGCCGACGTACGTAAATGAACCAATTGGAAAGGTTTTCGTTGTTGGCTCTGATTTCTTGTCTCCTCGATGATTGTATGTGTCGCTGTGTTATTAACCACTTTACTTTAGCTTTTGAGGGCTTCTTTCTTTGGATACGTCTGTACGCTGTTTCTGGTCGCCTTTGGGAATGACTTAAAAGGTTCAAAGCCTTCTGGTGAGCGAATGGATAATTTACCTTGTGTCCACTATTGTTGTTTTTTTTGGATACCATACTGGCTGTTCACCCCGTACCGTTGTTTTATCGTGCCTTTTATTTACCTCGTTTAAGCTTATCTTCCTTGATATTTTAACCGTCTTCTCTTGTCTATCTTCTTTGAACGGCTTTTTTGTGATCTAGTTGGTTTATGTTTCGAAGCTACCAGTGTTTGGAAAAATTGATGCACTCATTTAAACCCCTTTGAGACTTCCTCATTTGGCCTACATATATTTCTTTGCTAGTATCCAACGTGTTCGTAAGTCGGCTTATAAGTATTCTGGTTGGTCTCAGACCTACCGGAAATTCTTCAGGGTATATTTTGCTATCCAAGTGCTTCAGCGGTTGTCCTAATAAGTGTATCGATAAAGGCATCGCATCTTCTTCTAGATGAACGTTCAAAAGAGCAACTACCATTATCTCTGAGTGAAGGTAAATTGAGATTTCCTCTTGCGCTTATTTTTAGCCGAAAATGCCTACCAAAAGGGCATTCAGATGCTTTTGGAATGTAAAAATCCTTCCCTAGGAGATCCTTCGTAAGTGTTTTTGTTTCTTGGCAAGGCGTGTTTGTAATGTTTTTCTTTCGAAATCAGAAATATCTAGGCGTACGTGCGTCTTTATGCATCTTGGTAGCTCCACTCTCAATTTGCATAACTATTCTAGAGCTTTAAAGCTAATATCGAGCGCTGCTGAGGCGGGACATGCCAAAGCTCTTGAGGCAATAGCGACCGCATCTGCTCTTGCTTGGGGTGGGCTACCTCTATCCATTAACGCGGCTGTGGAGCAATTTCGTCGTCTAGCAGAAGAAGGCAACCCCCGGGGTCAACTGGGCCTGGGCATTCTGCACGCTGCTGGCATTGGAGTAAACGCCAGCGTTCCTCAAGCTATCATCTATTTGACTTTCGCAGCTCTTGGTGGTGATGAACTCGCAGAAATGGCTATGGTTCGTAACCGCCATCCTTGGCTTTGGCCATTATTACTTACAGCTGCGTTTGTTTTTATAGTAATTCATGCATCTACTCAGAGTTCGATTTTGTAAAAGCTGGCTGAATGTTCTGAAGAATTATTTATTATAAGTGCGCACTAAATACGTTTTAGGTGCATTTCTTAAGGTGGTATTGCGTAGAAAAGCCTGTTAATATTTTGGCTGATCCTGAGACTCACTGCATTGTTTACTTTGTACATAAGGCAACAGATCTTGATCATAACTATTCCATTAGATCTTCTTGCTTTGGTAGAGCCACAGTTATCACTAATTGGAAAACCACTTTGTTTGTGAACAGGGTCTTGAGGGAGGCTGAATTCAGGGATTCTGAAGTGGTCTACGTGGTGATGCGTATAAATTAAAAATTCTCATCTGTTATCAATGGGTCAGCGAAAAGTTTTTGAATCATTCAAGCGTGGTGTCGCCTAATTTGTTAGATGTCTTCTTGCAAAATACGAAATTGGATTAATTTTCAGCAATTGGCTTGGTACCCATAGTCATTTTGTTTTGAATCTTAACAGATTAGGTTGCCCATAGCATCATTGTCTTTGGGACCTTATAGGTTTGGTACTCATTGTTTAATTCTTGATCTTTGTTAATTTGTTTGCGAAATGCTGCCGCAAATTTAGTGTCCCAGTCTCTCTTTAAGACATTACAAGGCGTACCAATATGGTGGTCGGGTGCCGTGGGCTTAGGCAGACCCATGACATCAGGGAGATCTTGCGTTGTTAAACACGAAATTAAGGTGAACTTCGTTCCATTGCGAAGGGTTACCGATACCTGGCTGGGATCGGTGTGGAATCGAACTGTGAAACAGCCCTGGCCTACTACCGACGCGTGGCAGGCAGAGTGGCGGAGCAGGTGGAGAACCGCGTGAAAGCGGGAGCGGGCCCGATATTGCTGGGACCTACAGTGGTGCGCATCAACCTGCTGGAGGAACGTGAGCAAGCTGTTGGGGGTACCGCGCTCTCCAACTACTTCATCTCTGATGACATTCTCTCCTACTATAAATTTGTTGCCGACTCCAATAACGTCACTGCTCAGGTCACTTTGGGACAACTCTACTACAATGGCCAGCATGGCATCGATCTTAATCATAAACTGGCCCTCTACTACTTCAAGCGTGCCGCTGAATCCGGTAGCTCTCTTGCAATGGCCTATCTCGGCGAGGTTAGTGCCCAGTCTACCGGTAGCTAGTGCAATTCCCTTTCGAAAAATGGCTACAAAATTATGCGTTTTAAGATGTACCTCGTGGGTAGTCCAGAAGTGCCGAAGGATGAGGCTCTAGCTCTCAATTATCTGCAGCGTGCCGTAACCGCCGGAAATCCTATGGCACTTACAGGCCTAGGGCTGGCCTACCTTCACGGTCGAGCGGGCTTGACACCAGATCCAGTAAAAGCAATGGATTTGTTTGTTAAAGCCGCTGATCAAGGATGGCCGGAGGCGCAACTTCAATTAGGTCTTCTGTTTATGGGTAAGCTGAGCCCCATTCCCTTCAGAAATGCGACTGTTTCTAGGCACGTTGGGCTGGAAAGCTGACTATAAAATGGCCCTTAAGTACTTTACTTTGGCCTCGCAGCAAGGAAACACGCTAGCCTTCTACAATTTGGGACAAATGCACGCCACCGGAATGGGTGTGTTCCGTTCATGCGGCACCGCTACCGAGGTACGTCTATACTTAACTCAGGGGGTTTCACGTCTCATTATCATTTGCATAAAATTTTGGCATTACAGCTATTCAAAAACGTGGCTGAGCGTGGTCGCTGGTCTCAACTACTCACGTCAGCCTACCTGGAGTACTGGTCTGGCAATCACGAGGTCGCCTTTCTTCAATATGTCGCTCTCGCTGAACTTGGCTACGAGGTCGCCCAGAGCAATGCCGCGTTAATTCTCGAGGAGGGTGAGTTTTTTGAAGGGGAGGTCCTTTGACCTCCTAAGTCCACCTTGCCTTGAAAGCTATGCTCAATGAAGGAACTTTATTATTTAAGCTTCAACTCTCTTTCAGACAAAATTGACTTCGTTCCCGACAATGAGCGCTACAAGCGTGCTTTCGTGTATTGGAAACGCTCCTCCGCACAGGGTAATACTCCGCAATGTCTAGCACGGGTAACCGGTTGGCACTTTTTCCTTCTATTTTTGTGCTCCCTTTTTTTGCTTTGACAAGGCTCTTCCACATCACGCGTAAGACTGGGTGACTATCACTTCTACGGTCTGGGCACAGAGGTGAATTACGAGCAGGCCATTCAGGAGTATCGATTCGCCTCGGATGTGTTGCGCAATGCACAAGCCATGTTCAACCTTGGCTACATGCACGAGCACGGCCTCGGCTTCAAACGCGTAAGCAGAGTGCTCTGCTTCAAGTTCCGCACCACCAGCGATGTAGCCTACTAATGCGGACTACTCTCTATGCCTTAGGACATTCATCTTGCCAAGCGTTTCTACGATATGGCGGCAGCGACCTCGTCGGATGCGCAAATACCCGCGGCGTTAGCGCTTGCCAAGCTCTCCTTCTCGTTTGCATTCGAATTTCTACGGAAATTCTCCCTGGTACGTGCTTGCCAATGGTAGCCATTCCATGTGCTGCTAGGTTTTGGAAAACCCCTTGCTCCTTTGGACGTCCAATCCATGTTCGTTGGAAGAAAATCAATACTTTAAAAGACATCATGGTTCTGAAGTCTCTAGTAAGCTTGCTTCTTCGTGCGCTAACAAACGTTTTATTTATTTTGTTTTCAATAGTTTCGAAGCTTCTTCGGTCTGTTTGTAACCGTAACGGAGGGTGGTCGCGAGCCGGTTATCCCCTCAAAGATGGACTGGGACTTCTACGTCATCCCCTTGCTTGCCGGAGTTCTGTCCCTCCTCATTATCTACATGCGTTTTCTACAATAAAATATCTCCCGGGTACTTATTTTGTAAAGAAGGCTCACTTAATTACCACCTATCTCTCGCTTCTTCAACTGCTTGTCAACGGTTGAAATGCAAGGTTTTGTAAACACCTCGAAGTTTTGATTCTTGCTGCATGGGCTGGAAGCGAGTGTGTGTCATCCACAACCATCATGATGTACCAAAGTCCTTTTATCCAGAAGATATTCCCGATATAAGACAGGATTCGAAAGGGGGTTTGTTCAATTCAGCGGGTGCACTGCATTGGTGTAGACAAGCTTATCGCCAACTTCGGCGACTTTGTCGCCTTCCATGGAAACGGTGATACTACCGACAGACGCATCGACAAGGAATTTGTCGGTGGGGTGAAGCTTGGACAATCTTTCCGTCGGCACCGGAGGCATTGCTCGAGAGTCTTTCAGTGGGTTCAAGTATCGGTAGAGGAGCAACTCCTCCACGGCTAGAACAAGAAAGGATGTATGCCGAGATTGGGAACGGAATTTAGCGATGCTAGATTGAGGTGGTATCGTCATTGTACGACGATGGAAATTGCGGGTTCATCTCACGGGATGCACCAAAGAGGGGACTAATGGTGCTGGTTGCCTTGAAATTTAGGATCAGAAGTAGACGTCTTACCCTGACCAGTGGTCGTGGTGGAGCGGCAGACTTTGAGTAGACGCTTGGTGACCTGGTCCACCGTGTCGCCATCGTGGATTTGAAGAGTTTCTACAGAAAAGAGGCCCGATCCCACAGCAGGATTGACTAGAGAGACGCCAACCCCTGGTGTCGGCGTTTGAAACACTATCATTGGTTCCATTGGACAGACGGATTCTTTCACCTTCACATCGTCCGACATGGCTGCATCCCGAATCTAGGGAGGGGGGCCAAAAATTGGGTGATCACGACGCGTGCATATCCACGGGATAACACTTAGACACATCGAGACCTCCGAAGTAGTCATTTGTAGCGCTAGTTACCTCTAATCCATCGGCATCAAGGCCGAGATTGGCAACGAGGTAATCACGGTTCGCTTCCAGAACGGCCTGTTCATCTAATTCCAACCTCACATTTAATGTCTGCTCGCCGTTGGAAAGGAAGCGTTCACGAACCAACTGAACGAAGGGCATCGCTCGCTTTGCCTGCTTGCCTAACGACTTCATGTGGGGCTGTAGAGCCTGCAAGACTGTCGCGTTGTCCGGCAATCCATCCGCCTTCGTCAACAGGGAGTGTAGCACATTCAAGATCGTTGCCTTAAAGCCAAAGAAAAGGCTAACTTTAAACTACAGTAACATCCACGAGAGGCTGAAAAGCGGCTCCATGCTGGTAACAGAGGAGGTAGACGTATGGTTTCAGCAAGGGCATAACACGACCTGAAAAACCATGGAATCGCGAAGAAATGTTACAGCCTAGAAGAAAATCAGAACACCCAAATTTAGTATTGAGCACACGACACATTAGAATAAACCAAAGTAGGGGCCATTCAGGTGTGACATCTAACCTGCCAAGTTGGGTAGGCTCTGGCGACCCAGACAATGGCATTAGTGGGTTGCTTAGGCGGTTGTTTTTGCGGCGCCTGATACTGCGTCTTCACACCACCACTTCCTTTGCCCCTGGGTCCTCGCACAGTGAGAGCTTGCTTCAGTTGAAGACGGAAGGAGCGCGCCACGTCATCCAAGTAGCGACCTTGATTGACAAAGTTAACGTCTCTTACCTCAGGCTTAAGCGAAATCGTGGTTCTGAATAACAACAAACATAATTCAAAAAAACGGTGTCACATGTTTGATGTGTTAGCCGTCAGGTTGTAGTAACTAGTCACATCGGATCGCGTGTCGCAAAGAGATTGGTTGAGCTTGAAACAATGGAATCGATGTAGGATGGCCTTGATATGAATATAAAGTGGGTGTTCAGTGTCTGTCCGGCCCGAATTTAAGTGGAACAATAAACGTCTGAGCGGCAGCAAACGCTCAAAGGATCCTAGAGTGCAATGCCTACTAGGGTAGGCTCTCCTAGTCTAAATTTGTTTCGATATCGTGTCTGAATCAACAAGAAAATGTGCAATGGACGGAGACAGCTGGTGTGTATGAAAATGATAAACCAACCACTCGGTGAAGCAAGAAGGTTGGTAGACCCAGCTTCGAAGTACACACCTACCTTCAGCAAGAATCTTGGGATCGACCACCTCGACTTGTTTAGGCCAGGTGGACTTGAAAATGCTTTGTTCGTGACCAAGGAGATTGCGCCAGATGTGCTCGCATACATGCGAGCAGATGGGTGAGAGGAGGATTGTCTGTAGGTCAATGTACCGCCTGATTAGACTCGCGTGCATTCCACGCTTCTGACACACTTCGCGATAGCGGTCCTTGCAGGCCTGTAACGAGGAGAGCAAATGTGTCTCTTTACACTGACTTTGCACCCCCTAGGGTACCATTGCCTCGACCGTGTACCACACTTCATTATTCTATGAGGAGGGCGGATACCGGAACATCATCACAACTAGGGGAGTGTGCTTTAAACGCTCCCTAGGAAGATCGTGAACACGTCCAAAGCATAAAAGCGTCTAACTCATGCAGACAATCATTCCTTAGTATATTGCGTCTAGCTAAGTGATCTGTCACCAAAACTGGGTGGTTTAGACCAATCCTAAGCGGTAACTTCTGGTGGGGCCCAAGTCAAAATTCGTGGAGCAGACGCGTCTGAATCACACTATCCACCATTTTCGACCGGCATTTTATGATATAAGGGTTGAAAATAAGAGAGCAGTAGTCGAGAGCATGACAGGGAGTATTACAGCGACAGACTGGGGAGGGAAGGAGAGGAGTGTCTCTTTTATAATCCACATAAACAATCGAAAGCATTCTACAAGTCTTCATGACCTACAACAGGTCATTGCAGTGAGTCATGCCAAAAACAGCACCAAGCCCTTCGGTCAGACAATGTTTAAAGAATAAAGTGAAAAAATAGGGTTACACTGTCACAGTTAGCAAAAAGGAAAGGATATCTTACAATAAATTCGTAGAAAACAACTCGTAGAGCCTCTTTGTAGTTCTGAGCCGAGTAATGCTTGTCAGCACTTATAACGGTCCGACGCAGATCACTGAAGGGAAAAGAGCAAATGGAATTCCAAACTGAGTCTTCTCAGTTCCGAATAGCGGCCATAATGAAAAAAGGAATAAACCCAGTTTTCAAAAGACCTACTTTTCCATACTAACTGGACCTAACATCAGTTAGGATCCACAACTTGGGTACAGATTCCATGCTTACAAGTCTGAGAAAGCAGAAAAAAACGTAATATATGAGTGAAAATGAGCCTACTTTTCAAATACTTTATCAGCATGAAGATTCAGAGGGCCAGTTCTGAAGTCGGCGGCAGTAGGGTTCTTCAAAGCCTGAATGGCTGTGTTTATCCACTCGTAGAGTGAGTAGAGTCTAAGAAGACCGGCTTCAGCCATCGACTCCTCCATATTGGCGTCCTCGAGGGTGTCGCCAGCGTCGGCCAGTGCTAGGCGTAGCCCTGAGTACAAGGTACAGATTGTTATGATCGCGATCACTTCAACCACTCGAATCAGTTACAAATGTTACTTAGACAATTTTCAGGAGAGTGTCCCGAAGGTTCTTGTTTTAATTAATAAGTTTCAGCATAACCCAAAGCAAGGATGAATGTGATATAATAGACTTCGTCATTATTAATTAAACTATCCTATCCATTAAAATAGCTAGCCTTTTACTTGAGGAACTACGTCTAAATCCTACTTGCTTATAATTTAGACAGTCCATTGAGTAAAATAGTTTGAAAAAAAGTATTGTACTGATAGTCTACGAGAACTACTCAAAAGACATTCTCTACCTAGCCAGGACATGTTAATTTTAAAAGAGATCATTTAACCCAAAGGCATCAACCGTTACTTCGCCAACAATTTCCAATGACTATAAGTGGGAAATTTAAGTGTCGCCTCATATATCAAAGGCTATGTATAAAAAAGAGCAGTACTTCCGTTCCCATACTACACAAGCTCACCATCGGCGGAATACTTGTCTATCGCATCGGAAAGCGTCAAGAAATTCCCAGTCGATTTGGACATCTAAAAGGGAAGGTAGCAATAATCACCGTCCTATCTTTTCCACCAGTGAAATAATTAATAGACAAAAATGTCCCTAAAAATCAAGAATTCCAAAGCGAAGACCTGGAAAGAGGTAATTTTACCAAGGGCTTAACATTTGAAAGCCCCCAACGAAAAGACATACCTTTTCAGAGTTGAGTAGTAGTAAACCGTTGGCAAAAATACTCCTGGGCCAGAGTTGGGGATCCTCGGGCCACATTGCAACGTGGTTGTAGAGGTAGTAGGTAAGGTGGTTAGGCAGTAGATCCTTGCCACTGACGTGCAGATCTACGGGATACCAGTAAAGAAATTCCTTGCGCAGATGTTGCAGCGAAGCCACGGTGACGGTTGTATAGCGCTCATTCGCGAGTTTCGTGGGATCGCCTTTGCCCAAAAAGACGTAGTCCCACACCCCCGGAGTCATGTGTTCTGGGCTGGTGCAAAGGACGAAGTATAGAAAGGAGAAGGGGCAAGGGGAGAAGAAATTAAGGCACTGAAAATACTATATGTTGAGTGGACCACGGGAGGATCCATCAAGGTTTCCGCCGTGAAGAAGATGAGCGATAGTTTGGTAGGCCATATAGATGGTCGAATCCGAAAGAGATTCAATGATCCATTTCTCGTCCCACGGCAAACGCGTGCCCAAACCGTATGTGCGTGAACAAGCGTGTTCTTGCAGCCAGTTGAGGGTGGCATCGATGCTATTGCGGGCCTAAATGCAAATTCGAACCCACCTTTAAAGTGGTATATGGGCACCTGCTGATATTCGGGGGAAAGTGGATAACAAAATCCTACTTCATCAGTCATATTGACCGCAGTGAGGGCTTTGCGCGTCTTCGCCTTCCAGTCCTTGTTGCCGTAGTCGAGATACCACTGGTTACAGAGCGAGACCACAGCGTCATCGCCAGAGCGCGTCACAACTGGCTTCTCTGGTTCGTAGTAAATAAGGGCTGAATTCTATCCAAGGAGTCGGAAAAGGGAACTTTACTTCTATTTAACCCCAGATTTACTCATTTACGAATTGAAGATATGCTATTCCAAGTAAGTACTAACGCAAACGGAAATGTTTCTGATGATAAAAAAAATTTAAAAAGTGGACTTAGCATTTCCAATTGACTGTCAGAGAAATCGACAGACTATTCAATTTAGCTCACTGACTGTATATGTGAGCCATAACAGACTAGGTGGCCAAGTCAATCCGATTTGGATGAATGGAGAAAAAAAATAACAATGGAGTTTCCTTACCTCTTCAATAAGTTCTTGTTGGATCAACTTCCTAGCATTCTGCACTTTCTGACCGGCGTGTGTGCCCATGAGCAGGACACCATCGTAAAATCCAAGCTTGTAGACCTTCTCCTTGGCCTCCCGGAGTTTGTCATGATCGTTTTGACTCGCGATCTTCATTTCCTCTACTATCTTGGGTGCGGCTAGTCTACCCAATCCCGGAGTCTCTATTATCTCCACCAGTTCAAATGGAAGCACCATTTCGTCGGTTATGTCGTACTTCTCCCGGAAAGCCTAAAAGTTTGACAATCGGGCTCAAATGGCAACTTTAATCGAACTTTGGTAGGCTAATGCACCAGAGGGAGTCAGGTCCTGGTAAATAGGGACTAAAGACTAGTGACCTAATACCAGATGAAGAAACCACGACAAATCAAAGTGACGTAACCCAGCAAAATAAAAAAATCGAAACTTCAGGAGACGAACTTTTAGCACTTGGTCGACGAACACCAAAAGTAGATTAACTATAACAGTTTAAAATGTCTCAATAATGGTAAGTAAGCACCTTTATTCAAGCTCAGGAGAAAAATTAGCGAAGTGAAATAAGCACAGACCTTCTTGTTTTTAAGATCGCGCAGCGTGGCAAAGTCATCGGGAGAATCACTGGGTACACTGGTTACCACACCAGTCCCTTTAGTGGAGGAGATGGAGAGCATAGGTAGCGTGTAGATTCCGTCTTTGTAAACACTTAGCGGCGCCTTCAAACGCAGGCCAAAGAGCTCCTCGCCTGTCAGTGTGGTTAATACGTCGACATTACCCGGTTGCTCGGGGTCCAGCAGGTCCTGACAAAACGTACAATAGTACATTTTACCCCCCACTTTCCAACAAGACTCAAGTAAATTGCATAATTGAATAGAATTGGTTTGCACAATGTTTTCACTACCACAATCGCTCTCAAGACCACGCCTGTATAGTTAAAAAAAAACTTACCAATGACGAGTCCTTAAAAACGGTAGGAATCAAAAGAGTTAATGCACATATGCAATATAGCTCTACCTGATAGGCCATATTAAGTGCAGCCCGATGAGTAAGTATGAAGAGAGAGGAGAATCGTTTTGAGCGGACAACCGCATATTCAATGGTGGGATGAAGCCAACAGTTGGTTTGTCCGTACATCGTCTCTGGGCGCAGGGTTGCAGCCATGAGATAAACCTTTTCCTTTCCCTTCAAAACTTCCCTACAAAAGTTAATTTAAAAGAAGGACGGTAAACAATATTTTAAACAACACGTTGAGTAATATCGACGTAGAGTACTTGCCTAATTTTTTCCGGCAACTTTGAGATTATTTCTAGTTTAATAAGGGTATACTCCATGGGACAAACACCCTAGAAATTAGATAGATGAGTAGGCATTAATACTTCGTTATAAGCAAAAAAGGATAGTTTCTGATGACAAACATACTTCACCAGCGGTTCGTTCGTGATCCATACAGGGCTGATTATCTTTTGGTGAAAATATTGTGTAGCGTTTCCCATAGGCAACTTTATTGTGCTTCCTTAGATGCAGAAACTGCCAACGGACCATTGAGTCATAATAGGGATTGGCATCAGTAGTGATGAATGAGCGCCGCCAATCTGTCTAAATGCAAGCAATGACCCTCGTGGAATGAGCAATTGCCACTTACTTTAAGACCCAAACGCTGAAGATCGTGCAAACACCAAAAAGGGAAATATTCGACCCAGTAGTTAGGGCCGGTAAACTTGGGGATATCTTCTTCGGGAATTCCCAATGATTTCATGATCTGCCATTGGTACTTCATACCCCCAGTTTTGGCGACGGCTTTGCTCTTTTTACTCTTTGATTTGTCGATTGCCTCAGGCTTAGACTCACTAAAGTTTGTAGCCTCTCCATTTGCGGTGGGAAAATCAGGAGGACAGCCAAAGAGCTCAATTTCCCGAGCCAACTTGTCAGCAGAGGCTTTAATGGGTGTGCCAGTGCAATGGAAGCCAATAGGCCAAAGAACTGCTTTTCCCTTCAGTGCCTGGAAACCAGCCGCGTACTCGCCTTTCATAAGGGAAAAAGCATGCCCGATATGCAGGCGCCCATTCATGTATGGATAAGGAAAGGTAACAAAATATTTCTCCTTTTGCCCATCGGGGGAGGCAGAATCAACTTCAAATTGATGCTCATCTTCCCAAACCTTTTGAATGTTTCCCTCAATACTATGCAGTTCCGAGAGCTTTGCTGTACCTTTGCGTGCCATGTCTGAGGAGAGAAAAAATCTGGTTCAATTAATATCAATCAGGGAGTTGAATAATAAGACTATAAAATGAGTGCAGCAGAAAGCACTAGGGAAAGATATAGAACCTAAAACAATACACTTAAAAATGAATGCTTCTTGTGACAGATTGGAATTTTTAACTTGCATGAAAAAAATCGACGGAACATCAAACCACTAAAAAATTACACCAGTTGATGGGGAACAGGAAGTTGTGGCAAATACTTGGCAGTTAGGTATTAAGTAAAGACCCGATGCAAACAAAGAATTCAGCAAAAAAATATGTGCCTCTACAAATAAATCCAAGATAACTGAAAGTCACATTGTACTGCCTAAGAATACACAAGCACGTATCAACAATAGATAATAGATACGTCAAATAAGAGAAAGCAAAAAAACGATGATAAAAGGCAGCAGAACGCATACAAATAAATGAATTTAAAGACAAAATACGCCAAGTTCACATACTCCTTCGGCAACTAGGTGACAAATCAGGAGAACAAACAGCAACCCCGTGCCAGGCTAGTAAGTGGATAATAAAACCCAATCAGAAAGTGGCATTCACCACTAGGCTCCGTACGACAATTAAAGGAAACTGGCAGGGGAAAAGCGTTTTACAAGCAATCGTGTAATCCCGGAGTCAGAATCATTCTTATGATATTCCTCAGTCGTTTTTAGTGTTTTGACTTTCACACCTTAGAAAGACTAGAAAAATTGGTTCCATAAAAATAGCATAACTATTGCAAAAGGTTCCTGTAGTCTTAGGAAAAATTAGACTTATCTTCAAAAAAATTCGTGACTTTGTCAAATTAAGATAATGCACATAGCCCAACCGAATATGTAAACTGCTTCAACATTAAAGTAAATTAGACAAATAGAATGTCAAATTAACATATTATCTCACGCATTTTGTCCTTTCGCAAAATACTCTAAAACATTTTAAGGCGTTATTTGTGAAGGAAATCGCCCAATGGCTTCTACTTCAAAGTATTTCAAAACAAAATAATAACTTAGGGCTACAAACTTGCCTTTATTTTAAGCCAAGGTGTGATATGCATTACGGCACAAATCATTTAACCACAGATTATAGTTTAGTTTTGGACTGACTGTTCATAGGTTAGGCGCAATAAATAGTCACTAAGGCCACAAGCACATATCCTTTAGTGACAAACATGCCCAGACATTTCGCAGTAGTCTTTAATTTCACATTAGTGTGAAGCATTTTGTTTGTTTGTATTCCTGCTTTTAATAAGTGTGGGTTCTTCGGAATTAGTTTAAACGACTGTTTTAGCCTATTTAGCCTTCTTTAACATTGTTATGGAGGAATAATTTACTAGGTAATCGTGCTATCTTTATTGTAATCACCATGTGCATTGTTTTATTACTCCTGCATGTTTATGCATATTTTGATACAGTAGGATATGTTGTCCAGGTTCAGTTTCGAGCTGTTGACTTTATTTTCGGGCAACTCCTCTCTATATTCCAAAAACAGCGGCCTATTGGGGAACGATTTTGCTTAACTATCTTTGCAGCTGTGTGATGGGCGACAACAACTACCCGCAATTTCGTGCCGCGAAGTTGTTGCGCGATCCCGTCCTGGACCCCTCTTGCAAGTCGAAATTGTACAGAATTGACGGTGTGGTTGTCGGAGTAAGCGCGTAGCCTCACATTTTACACTTCCAGGCTTCTTGTCCTAGCCCCACGCCTGTTATTGACCCCCGCATATCGCCGCAGCTGCGAATGTTTTGCAGGAAACAAAATTCGGATCTTCCCGTTCCCAACTTTAAGGTAACCGCTTTGTTGACATATTAGTCTAATTAGCAAAATAGTTCGATGCTTACTTTATAGGGCCGTGTCCAGAAAAAGAAGTTACATTTTCCAACCTGAACGATAATATAAACATCAAAAACTTGGAACAAATGTGCAAAGAGTTTGGGACAATCGAAGAGGCAAAGGTTTACTTTCATCCTCAATCCCAAAAGCATATGGGAGTTGGCAAGGTGGTTTTCCAATCAACCAAAAGTGCCAAGCTTTGTGCTGAAAAACTGAACAATACTTCAAAAATGGGAAATATTATGAAAGTAGAACTTGACACATTTGGTAATTCATTTCCGCTTTGTTTATTTTTGCAATAATAGGGAAAAAGAGGTATGCACTGTTAAGTTACCTGCAGGATGAAATGTCTCGGGATCTAATTTCGAAATTTCAGTCAGACAAGTCACACAACTTGCTGAGTAAATCTGTTATGCCTACTACTGAGTCGGAAGCAGTTTTCAAGCCGAATCCCCATCATCGTTCGCCATCAGACCATGATTCCTTAATGCCTTGTTTAACAAATCATGGAAATCGTGGCTTTTATCGGAACAATTCCCCTTTTCAGACGAATTCACGAGGTGTAGTAAGTACCGATTCACACGATTGCACACTCAAACGCTCCGATTCTTCCTTCCTGCAATCTGTTTACCATTCCTCGATCAGTGAACGTTCAATGCTGCCGCATTCAATCAACGGAATTCCAGTTCCTAAAGAGGATCCTTTGGATGTCCGAATACAGAAACTGTTGCATTCCAATGCCTCTAGCTCACTCCTCTCCTTGAAGGAATCTAAGAAAGATGTCGATATAAAGCCACAAAAAACGCCCCTATTGTCTGACACCTTTTCTGAGAAGCTGAAACCGGCACCGCTTCTTCAGAGTCCACTTATGCCGACGCCGCCCTCCTTGACATCCCATTCACATGCCTTAAAAACTGAACCTAAAGTTCCCACAAAGGCTGCTGTGGCTCGTAGAACTTTGTTGCCTACTCCCTTTGATGAGGACATGAAACCTGAATGTAAGAATGTTCGTCAGACGTTGAAGCAGCCTTTGCTTCAGGATTCACCAAAACCCGCGATAGATTATTTCCATGTTACCAGACTGGCAGCAGAAACTTCCCTCCAATTTGTGCGTGAACTGCGCGATATTATAAGGAAAGACCTCGAACGACGTCTGATCGAAGGATACGCATTTCGTACTTTCGATAGTTGGTGGGAATCCCAAAAAACGGTAGGTGGGGGGAACGTTTGCTTTCCACGGGGTTATTAAAGTTTGCTTTTGAATTTCAGGACTTGCATTGAATTAGATTTGCTTAAATCGTTCACGCTTAAAATGCTTATTTTGTGTCAGTTCCTTTGCTTCATTGACCATTAGAACCAAGTTACACGAGTCTGGCTCTTGATTTCGATTTGAGCTCAAACTTTTTTACGAAAAAGAACCATTATTTTTTCAGTGTCTTAGTGATTTAGTCTCTCGATCCACAGTGAAATCGCATCGAATGGATTCATGGCGAACTATTGAACTAACATCAATAAGGATTTCGTCATATTTTACTAAATGTACTCCCCATATTTTTTTTTATCAAACAATAGTACCTTAAAATACAAACTTTATAGCTTGTGATGTTTTACTTCAAGCATTGCTCCTGATATTTTTAAAACTTGTATCATTTCGCATCATTGCTTATATCGTCGATGTCAGTGATCCCGTAAGCTCCGATTTCAAATAGGGTAAAATATCACCTTCTCTCTTTGATTCCCATTATTAAATTGAATGCCCTAATTGATCTACTTCGTTGGATACCATTTTCAGAAGGCCTTATATAATTATGCGAAATCACGTTTTAGTGCGAGTTCCACAAGGAAACTTCCTCAAGTAAACGTCTATTAAAGTCGCACACGGCATCAACTTCCTATCAATTACCCTCTGCACACGCGGAAACAGTTGACGCCAGCAGTTTTAATCAGCGATCAGATGCGTCTCTCTCTACCTCAACTCCTGGTGGTTTGGGCATTTTTAGCGGCCTCCGCACTGCCCTGCCCAAAATCAAGCGAAAACCGAAGCCCCCAACTCCACCAAAGAAAACCTCTTCACCCCACCGTTATCGTAATAGGAGTGCTTCAAAATCCTTTTCCCATCGCACTAGAGAACGACATCATGCTGAAATGAGGAGGGAGTGGCGAAGCAGACGTCTGAAGGCGTCCTCATCATCGTCTTCTTCTTCAACATCTCGAGACGCTTCTCCGACCACATCGGATTCAACAGAACCCACAGTTGCCTCTCCATCCAAGTTTGCGATGCATAAATCCGTGGTTGATAAGCAACGGTTTACTTTCGATACCGAAGATGTATCACGGCATTCATTCAAAAGTGTGTCTATTTGAATTAATCCAGTGCTTTGCTGTCGTTAATGCCCTAATAACTTTGTATCTTTTGCAATTTTAGCCCCTCACTTACCTGCCGCCTCAAAGCGTACTTTCACCTCTGCCAGGCGTTATGATAGCTCTCCGTCCAGCACCGACCAACGCATCAGTCCCAACCGGCGAAAAGTGACGTTAAAAGACAGTATCAGCCGGTCTTCCTCTTCTTCCTTGCCATCGGCTTCACCATCACCTTCGAGGAAGCAGAAAAAGCAGAAACCAGTTACGCTGCGCTCGCCAAATATTAAGCGTGTCTCCGGCAAACCCACTCTTCGAGTCGACGATGTTTTTAATGATAGGTTCGTTTATTATCATACGTCTTTCTAGTGTTCTTCTAGCGAGCCCTGTATTGCCCTTTCATCAAGATTACGCCTGTACATAATGTTCTGTTTATTTGATTTTCCTACAAGTACCTTATTGTAAACCAAAGTGGCTGGCGTTGATATGTTTTTTATCTCGCAACATGAAAATGAAGCTAGATAATAGGGATACCAATGGTTCATTTTGCCCCCTGATGTACGCTTGCACGACCTCCAGTACTGAAATGTTGTATTTAGCTCCTCGGATTCTAGCGTCAGTGATGCTGTTCGCTCACGATGCCCGTCTGAAGGGAACCGAGGAGTCGAACCTGCGGATGAAAGTTCCACTGAGAAATGCACTTCGAAGTCGAGGTCGTCATCTCCATTGACTTCTAATGAGAGTCGTCATCAGGAGTCTTCTCCTGCGCCCTCACCGACGCCTGAATTGACAGAAGCACACGATTCGCCTCAATCGAATGCAAAGTGTACCGAAGATTCCTCCTTCGGATTGAGTTCCCTCAGTTCTGATGTAAGCCTTCACTAATTTCTGGCAGAGATTTTATTCGTTTAATATGGTGTGCTTCGTGTAACACATTCATCCCTATCTATAGGATGATGACCCTTTGGAAGTGCGACTTCAACAGATAAGGTTGAACCGCCATCAAAGGGCAAATAATCAGCGAAGTACACGCAATAAGGCCGATCAGCAAGTAGCAAACGGCAAGGCGTCGTCGTCCATTCAACCGCCCAGGTCGGTCAAACGGTGCCTTGGTAAGTATGCTATCACTATAGAATTCGTCATTGGGCGTAACCAGATCCACTGATCTCATCTCCAAAATGGCTTGAATGCTGTTCGCGCCCTACATTTCCATAGACTGTTATTGTCTATACAGCGGTTCTTGTGTACTTTTCCTACACTAATTTATGCGTGCATTCCATTCTTTTTTGATTGCGTCCCCTCCTTTTGAACTCCCTTTAAGTGTGCCTACCCAGAGTTTTGGGTTTTAGATTATCTTTCTGTTTTGCGGATCCTTGGCTTACCGAAAAGTTACTTTGGCTTTTCAATCAATCATCTCGCTTTCTTTTTGCATTTTGCAGGCCCGATCACGGCAGAGCTTGAAGAACGAATCGACTGCAGATGAGAGTGAAAAGGATGAAGCAGGTGGTGATAACGAGGAGGAGGGCACTCAGTTGGTTCGTCACGCAAAGATCTCTAATACGACAGATGGTTCTGTCGTTTCAAAGCGTGATCGATCACCGCGTTATGGGATGGCTAAGGAATCCTCAAGCGACTCCGATTGGACTCCTCAGATGGAACGTGCCACTCCGCAAAAACGGGTGACGTTACTTGCGTAGCCCTCCCCGTACTTTATATCTTCCCCATAGATATGCAGAAGGGTTTAAAGAACGAAGACCCTGATGGTAGGGGAATAGTTTTATTGTCATTGGAGGGAGCTTAAAAGGGCCTCCGTGGTTTTTTTTCGTTAGCAAATCGATTAGCATTTGTTTACGGTACTACTGTAAGATGTCTTCCTGAAGTGACGTAGTGCACGTTTGGCAGTTGGGTTGGTACTTATTTTTACTGTAACACATTCAGAATCGAAATCGACCTCAATTCAATATTTCCTCGGAAGACTCTTCCTCGCCCTTCAATGAATTTGCGGAGGAGGAGGAGAACGACGATGGCGATGGCGAATCATATAAAGGCTATCAAGCCACTCTGACTCCCACATCTCGACGAAAACAGAACTTGTCGTTTCATCGGGCCAGAAGTGTGAAAGGCATTGCAAACAACAAACAAAAAACTCCTGCTACCACTACTCCCAATCAGGATGCACGTAGTGATATGCCGTTGTGGCGATCGAACTCCAAGGGTTCCTTATTTTCAGACACAAGACGGGTAGGTCAAATCTATTTACTAAAGTCATAATTCATCTGTGCTGCAATTCTGGGATATCCTTATGCTTTTAACTGGCCATTCCCTCCCTGACTTGCACGTAGGAGGTCCTAAGAGAGGGTAATGATGAAGTATTCGTATCGAAACGATCCTCACCCTCAAAAACACAATTGGGTTGGCCAGAAAACAGTAGACCTCCGGTGTCACCCCTCTTTTCTGCTGACATGGATGGTGATTCTTCCGACTCCTGTGAAGTTGTAGAGGTGAGTTAGAAAGGAATTCGATGTTGACAAACTCCTATGTGAGGAGGCACTACTGTTTGGTTTTTTGTCCAAAATTTCAGACAGTCCAAGGTAACTACCAGTGGCCAGAATCTTTGCTCTGTGAGCACAACTACTTTCATATTCCTCCTCCTGGTGGTACAATCACTTATCGAACGTCGAGACGTGCTGCACGTCGACGGGTCTCTGTCTCAGCCTCGATGCAGGAGAATGTTACTTCAATCACCACCCCAATTCAAAGATCCACAGGTCATTGTGCCACATCACTACCGCCTGGAACAGTAGAGCCTCTCATTGTCCATCGCTCCTCCTCCTCGCTACCTGGCTCTGGGCTGTTGCAGGATCGCACAGTCAGCAGAATACCAGCAAGATGCGATGCTGTCCAACCACGGCGTCAAGAGTATAAAAGGCCACCCGTGCGACGGGCTGTCGTTGGGTCGAGGGAATTGGCAAACTTGCTGACTCCTGTAGAAAAGTCGGACGTTCAACGCAATTCTCAACGATCGGAATTTCAACCATGCTTAAAGACTTTCAGTCCTCGCTCTCCCCAAGATGAGGAAATGGTATGCATTCTTTTGACAATACTCGAATCAATCAAAGCCAAATGTCAAGTTCATTTATTCCTTTGATATATCAAAAAGCAAAAATGTGGATTTAACATGTTAAACCCTGTTCCAATGATGGGGACTTTTTGCACCTCTTTTCACCAAATAGCAATACCCACGAAACTGAGGGACTTATAAATTCATTTTTGGGGGTTTCTCGGGTTTTAGTTTAGCTTCAGTGTGAAAGGAATCGAGTGTGTGTCAACATTTTGAAGTAATTGTGTTCCGCAGGGTCCAACTTATGTGGCCGTTGCTTCTTTTAGATTTTGACATCATTCCTCGATTTTGGTATTGACTCAGAAGACGTGGAGTTGCTGCATGAACTATTCAACCTCATTCGAGAGTACGGATCCTCAACAAATGCCCAATTACTCGCCTCCATTCTCTCATCTGCTCATATCCGCCATCCCCACAAGCTGCTTGATTTGATAAAAAATACAGCTTGGGTTGATCATCCCGCGTCTTTGGTACCCGATCCCCTCGATGTGGGGGCCTTTATTGACTCCAATGGTCGACTTCATCAAGGTCGTCCCACCGCATGTGTTGGTCTCGTTGACTCTGCAACCCGGAAGCGTCGATATGGCGCGCCTCGTAATTGTCAGAGCAAGCGGTCGAAATTCGATCCCATCCACCAAGAATTTTCCGAGCAATACTCTTCCATGTCAGATCAGCTTTCAGCCGAGGAGTTGAATCCTGACTCACCAGTGTGCGATGGGGACCCTCTAGCATTTGCAGTTAAACCGAACCCTATGCTGTCCTTGCAGAAACGAAAGTTATATGAGCAGGTGTATGCTTTGGAGCAGAGACAGGCTGCCCTTTGGTCCAGTGGCAGTAATCGTGCTAAGCGAAGAAGTAAATCTATGGCTGATGAGATCGACTTTCATCTGGGTCCTGCTGCTTCTTGTCCACCGGTCAACTCCACTGGTAGGAAACAGTTTCTCCCTTTGCTACATGTTAGATATTCTCTAAGAGTAATATTAGCAATTGGTAAATGGAACAGGGAGGTCAGAGTTTTTTTTTGGCATTGGATAAAAATGATATTCCCTTTGGTCAATTTGGCACCAATGCCCTTTTGATAGCGCTCTATTTTGAAACATGCCATTCATGATGTGTTATTGCCCCTACTCTTAGGTTGTGCGCGAACACAGGGCTTCTACCGACTGGATCCGAGTCAGCGTTTTCGTCGATCCTGGTGCGTAGGACGAAGCATGGTATCCGAGGACGGCACTCAACGGTATCCCCTCCCGCTCATTCCCGCCTCGGTGGAACTGAATGCCATTAACGCTGCCCACGGCCTTGCTGACGAGCTCACCGAACAGGCGAGTGAAGCCAAACGCAAGAAAGTGACACAGGCTCGTGAAGTTCGCTCTGTTCAGCGACGCCTGCTCGCTGAATTCCAGGACATTGAAACGGGTGATCTGCTCAAGTTCAACCACCTAGAGGTGAGTAGTAGCAACAGCTGCGGCTCAACGCTTTTCCCTAGCGTCCACTATCTCAACCACTTGTTCTATAGTTTCGACGAAAACAACTAATCTTTGCCAAATCTCCAATCCACCACTGGGGTCTGATTGCGCTGGAGCCGATAGCCGCCGAAGAGATGGTGATCGAGTACGTGGGTCACGTTATTCGCAAGGGTGTGGCTGAGCTGCGCGAGAAGCGGTATGAACAACGTGGAATTGGGTCTTCCTATCTCTTTCGCATTGACGATGAATTTGTCATTGACGCCACGATGTATGGAAATAACGCTCGCTTCATCAATCACAGCTGTCAGGTAATGTTGATGCTGGTATCAATCCACTTTCACACTCTCATGAGTAAGCAGTGTTGTATGCATGTGCCATCTTTACGATGAAGTTATCGACATCCCGTTGGTTTTTCATTCCAGCCAAATTGTTACGCCAAGGTGATAACGGTGGAGGGCCGCAAGAAAATAGTGATATACTCGAAGCGTGATATACAGGTTATGGAGGAAATCACCTACGACTACAAGTTCCCCTACGAGGACGAAAAGATACCCTGCCTATGCGGTGCCCCACAATGCCGTGGAACTCTCAACTAAATGTTCTCAGGATATGTCTCTCCGTCTCTATCTCTCTTCTTTTCGCTCTTTAGCCTTTCATTCACGGCACTTTCTCTCTGAAGTTGACTTTCTTTTTTTCCCATTTGGCAGTTCTCAGCCAATGTGCTGATGCAGCTCATTTTCTCTCTCCTCAGTCTTTCCCTGAGCCCCCTTCTCTGCGGTGGCTCCTTGTCTGGCCAATTTAGGCTTCAGCAGCAGTAGCATTGTCGTGTATAGTAGCTCCCATTAACTTTCGCCTCCTTCTTCTCCTCCTGCGCGCCTTTTGTCAGTTTTGTACAAATGTATGGACTCTACCAGCTCTCTATTCTCCGTCTGCTGGCTCTTTTACACCAATGCTAGTTTTGTGCATTTAATTTGCTTCGTTGTACAGAGAATTTGCTTGTGCCTGTGGCGATTGAAAGCCGCATTAATAAAGATGATTATTACTTTCCTTCTTCCGTTGTTGCCTGTCTGAGGCACCTTTTTTGTAGAGATGACTTTACCTCTCTTTGTGTGGCATTATCTATCTTTGTCTCTGTGCGACTTGGTTGCTAACTACCCTCAGGAAAGTTGCATTTTGATAGTCGTACTTTCTGTGAGTTTGTAGCATAACCTATGATAGTGATAGCCCGGCAGTGCATCAATTTTTGGTATAGAAGAAGAAGAGGGTGGCCCCTCGCACTGCATGTGACATGTGTGATGTGTGCGTATATTCCAACTCATTGATTGGCATTACCCTTGTGTGTGTATGTGCAGACTTGATGGTGAGGTGAGATTGGGTCGGACTGCAGAAGTGCGTTGGAGGTCTAAGGCATTCATTTATCAATGTACATTCCTGTGTGTGTTTAGCTACATGACGCTTTTCCTTTTTTGTCTCCGTTCTCAGTAAATTCAAGGCGGGGCTTGGTTTATTGCCCTGCGAATTGCACACAGATCCTAGCGTAGCCTTGCATAGTGGTAGCGCCTTGAGATTTCCCTAAAGACGAAAGAAAATATACTAATTGGACGGAGTGTGCATTATTGACGTACTGTAAGGGGGTGGGTAGGGACTGGGGGCTACTGGCGTGGCCAGGAAGCCTGGCCTTGTCACCAAAACCTTTTGAGCGTCGTACCTGGTGCTCCCCTTGGTTAACCTCCCGTGTCAGCCATCACAACGTAGTCGGTGTAGAAATAAAAATTTTCCGCGAACCAACCGCACCGTTCATGAATCTGCTTGCAATTAGGAAGGCATCTGACCGCAACGTCGCCGATTTCTCGTGGCAATTCTACTGCATCTGGAGTTTCGTCCTGTTTAGGAACTGTATTAAGAGGGCGAGCAGATGCGCTGACCGTCTCCTGCGTCCATCGCTAGTGGTAGGATCACTGGCCCAAAGGCGGAGTCAAATAACAAAGGACGGGGTCTGACATGGTTGCGCGATGATAAGGTTTCGCTTCTATCTTTTTGCAATTCATCCGGCTAGTAGAGATGTGGAGGAGGTACCGCATGTTCACTTGATTGACATCTTCATATCGGTTACCGTTGGCAACCCCTTAACGAGCTGTTCCAAATGATGCACGGCAAGTGTAGCTTCATTTGTTGATAGCCTTCCTGCAGACCGTAGGACTGAGGATAGTTGCTGAAGGTAGACGTCATTCTCAACCCTTCCGCTAGGGTTTGTCACCACTTCTCCCGCCCACAGCACATGCACTTCCTCCGCCCCGCTAAGGTTTATCATCCAGCAGTAGAAATGGGGATAGTTGCCTAAGATCGGGTTCACTTTCCGCTGCCACTAATGTAGCGCTCTAAGGCTCTGTCATCCTTGTGTCATTGTGGTGCAGTCTCCAAAAGCAAGATTAAAGCCTTGAGGAGGGTGTGGGCAGATTCAGTTCATGTCCTGGAAAGACTCGTTCAGTTTCTTTGCCAGAATAAAGTGTTATATCACTCCCTGAATATATTCATTCGATCGTCGTGGTGACCCAACTTGGTGTAAGATCGCCCCGCTGTGTTGTGCAGTCGATCGCTGTCCTGAAATGAACAACATGGATGTGAAAATCACCGACTGGATTCATCATACCTTGTGGTAAGCCGGCTTCGGAATCGCAATCGTAGTGCGGACAACTGGCTAAACCAGATCGTGATAAATTGAATCATCTATTTTTGATCTCTCGAGGAAGCTCTCTGTCTGTTACTCTTCTCCCAATTTACCTAGCCTTTCTGAACCGCTGTGACTACCTTTCACTTATCTCTGAGACTTGTATTTTTAAACTACTTAACAGGGCTCAAGGAAATCGTTTCATTGATAGTCTTTGTGAGGGCCGCATTTTAGACCGAAAGATAATGACTTGACGATTGTCACTGTTTTTTGTACTTTAGATAGATGCTCCTCTATCCCAAATCCGAGTTATTTGTAGCCCGAAACGCCTTTGCCCGACGTTGGCGTAGTGCCATCGACGCATCCTCGTGGTACAAAGATGGCTACATTGAAAGCATCAGGCGAGTGGATTCCCTCCACCGAAATCATCCTCCGTACATACAAATTCGCAATGCAGATTCGTACCCTTTCCTCGACGCCGATACTTTTGTTCCGCCCGTCCACTTTTTTACCTCATCCTTGCGACCAAAGAAGGCATCGAAGGCTTATCAACTACCGGATCCCTATGGAATGGATACCTCCCAAGTTGACCAGCCAGCCGTTCAAGTTGGAAGCGAAGTGAAAAGCGTTGATCGGAAACGACGTCTAAAATCGCCACCTCCATCACTGCCGGCGAAATCAAAGCAAGTTCGTTTGAAAAAAGGGATGAATGTCCCTGCTGTTGGCAATGTTTGCCACTTTGGTGAATGTAATAATTCTGTGGAAATGGACTCAAAAGGGATTGATATTTCTCCTTTGGCCGAGAGTGGGCATTTATCGCGTAGTCAGCCTCATGTCAATCAGAAAAGGAAGGCATGTGAATAAAGCTAATTCGGTCTCACTTCGCTGTGTATAATTGCATCAGTCGAGTCGGGATAAGGCCCAGTCTTTTCTATCATCTAATCATGCTTGATAAAGTGAGAATACCTTTTCCAGGGTGGTTTAAATGAGTGAATGCCATTTGACGATGTCAGGACCTGTTTCACTTTGTTATCTATGTTGAAATAATACTCTTCAAGGTACTGCTTTAGGGATCGGTTTTCTGGCCTCAGGCCGGGTGTCGAGGCCGTCAGCCGTTGGACAGTCATCATTGGCTGACGTGTAACGGTCTCTGAAGGCTTTGCGCTGCATAAATGCTTGGTCTTCTGTACGAGCAGATATTCACGTCTGTAAGAAGCCTCATAAAAAATTTTTCGTTCTGTACACGCACACACATATGATGACACTATTGCCTGCCATTTTGATTAACTGCGTCTGGACCGGGCCAGGAAGTATGTGAGCCTTTTAGCCTTGAAGTTCAAAGTGAAGAGTAGACGTGAATAAGACGGCGCTGCTGCTTACTCGCTTCAAAATAATCGTTTCAGTTTGAAAAATGCTCTCTTTGAAGAAATAGTGGGGTGGGGTCTTGGGCTTTTGCTTGACCATGCATTTCTTTTTCAGATGCTTGGAGCTCACCGACATCTGGATTTGCACACCGGTCATCAGCCTTGAACGCTCTAGGTTGGGTGTTAAAGATCTTCCAACGCACAATTTAGCGTTGTGCTGAGACATGTTCTAGACTTTAATTGATCCCCAAAATCTCCCACCTGTTCGCCGTCTCCATCCCCACCTTCCGTATGCTAGATTACCTCTGATTTGTCTGAATTGTGGTCGTAAGCGTGATGGCACTGTCAGGGGGCGGAGCAAACGACCATGCCATTGAAGTGGTGAAATTTGGCGTATCGATGTCAGCACAATTTAGGAGAACTTATTCTCTACAGGTGGGTGAAGAAGAGGACCACACCGAGTTTACCCTTCACCTTCGCCCCGTTCAGATGGAGGCTGAGGGAAAGGAGGAATGACAGTGGGTGGAGAAAGGAAGGAAAAGAAGAAGCTTTAAGCGCTCACTTTTTGTACTCAATTTAGTCTTTGCAAGTCTACCCTTTACGCCAGTAGGTCGAGGCGTGTGCAAAATCTTGTTGAAGGATGTGGCAGAAAGACTTGCAATGTAGGTCATCTCAAGCTGAATTCAATGGAGGCGACAGTGCTAAGCTTGCCTGATCATTGCGATTAGCTAACCTCACTTCCTCGCGTTTAATTCGTACTTATTCCTTGTGGGGATTTTGGGCCTATTTGTTGAGATACAAACATTCTTTTCAATGGGAACAGTTTAGTGTGTCTAGTTTCGTCTGGGGCTTCATCTCTGTGCATCTTGAAGGGGTCTACCAATTTGAGGTAGGTGCTGAGGGGCTCCCGGTGTTCTTTGCTGTCGCGCAATTTATTTACAATTCTTTTCATTTTCAGAAGGTTCCACGTTTGGGGTCCTATTGCTACCGCAGTGGCCCGAGATATCGAAGGCTAAGGAAGATATGATGTTCATGCAGAATACGTAATGTCGGCGTACGGAATAGCATGACCCGGAGGCTAGTTCAACAGCTGGAGACCTCCTGCGGCCCTGCTACCATTCATGTAATCCTCTACATACGACTATCGAAATTCACCAGTAACAGTTTGGTCATTTTTAAGCTGCAAGTATACACAGTAAAACCCACATAACAGCCAAAAATGATAGTGTAGTGCGGCGGCAATGCGATATTGGCTTTGGTAACGTTGGAATAATCAAATGGTCGCCGAAGATCATTTTGCGTGGGGTCACCTTGGTCGTGTCGGGCTCATTAGTAGTGCGAGGCGGGAGAGTCATACTCAGATTTCGCTCAGTGTAAGAACAATATTAAAATTTGAACATCAGGTTCGCCGTAAACGAAATTCAAGTATTAGAGCTTAAAAAAATTATTATTTGAGTCCCTGGTGGGTCATTAATATCGATTACTCATCTACTAATTTATGCAGATGTAAGGTAGAAGTAGTTAGATTTTATTTTGTAATGCATTAACAATGAAGACAGTGGAGAAGTAAGGTTCAGCAAGACCATTTTAAAAAGGTGTCATGCTGATTATATATTTTTGCACATAGTTCGGTTTCTACGCGTTGCGATGGTAATTGATACTTTAGAAGAGTAAGAGAGTAAACTTTCAAATTCTTCAAGCCAGAAAGACTAAATTTTTTGAGGAAATGAATAAACTATGTGGGGATTGTTTTATAATAGGTACTGATTAATCTCCAATAACGATGCATAGAGATCATTTTCATGTATCTTAGGCCAAGAGAGGCATCCTTTATTACATAAACCTGCACATTATGAAGACAAACTTACGTGTAAAAAGGAGAACCCAGTTTACAGGTTCTTTCAATGCTTGTACTTAATTTTATCATGTCAAACCTCAAGGTCATATTTTCGAAGTTGTCGCGGCTGTTCTTGCTTGGGTGTTTGCGTTCGATCTCGATTGCTGGATTGACTTTTCTTATCGACTACCGTTTTGAACTGTTTCTTATATATTCTCCTAGCTATTTCGTATCAATGGTTTATCTCATGTCATGCGTTTTTTCTGTTGTGTGATGTAGTTGATTACAAAGCTGATTTTTTCCTGCGCTAGTGTGCAAAATCACGTGCAAAATTTTTTATTCGGCGTCAACATGCATCCTTTGATTTCCTAAGTCTCTTTGCCTATGTAAAAATCTAGTGGCCAGCATGTGTTGCTTTTTTAGATTTCTAGAAAGTCATGTCTGGTGAACACAATCGTGAGCAGGGTGTAGACGAATTGAATCCGGTTTATCATATATATCATCCCTTAAACGACCGAATACCCACAAAAGTTCCTAAGAGAAGATATGCAGATAAGGAAGGTCTTTTCACCCCCAATATAGAGATATCGCCGGTCGATCCGATTTGGCAGTCTATTGACCCGACTCCTGATGTTCGGAGTCTTTTTGCTACCTTTGACGCTCAATTTTTTGGAGGAAGACTGTCTTGTGTAGAAGTTCGGTGGAGTCCTCGAATGACTCTCTGCGCAGGTCAGTGCATCTATGAGGGTCCTGGAGGCCTCTGTTCGATTCGTTTGAGCGAACCTCTTCTTAAATATCGCCCACGGAGTGACCTTGTGGAGACTTTACTGGTAGTTTTCCAATGCTTTATTAATTTTTGTTTTTAGCACGAGATGATACATGCATATCTTTTTGTAACACAGAACAAAAGGGTAAGTTGCAGATTATAGCTTTAGTGACTAATTGTACACAGGATCGTAGTGCTCATGGGCCCGTTTTCCGATTCCACATGAACCGGATTAACAAATGTGCCAAGACCAACATAACTGTGGGTTATTCTATACAAATTCACCGAAGATTCGGATTTCCACTCTTTTAAGCATCGCATTCTCGTTTTAGGTTTACCACAGTTTTCATGACGAAGTTGATAATTATAAAGTTCACTGGTGGAAGTGCAACGGTCCATGTGCAAATCGTCCCCCATTTTATGGTTTAGTGAGACGTTCTATGAACCGGGCACCGGGACCTAACGATCTCTGGTGGGCTGAGCATCAAGCTTCCTGTTCTGGTGCGTTATCAGTTTACTGCGTTAATTATGCATTTGCGTTGTGTCAGGTCGTATTCCTCGCATGATTCCCGATTTCTCCGTCCACACACTGTCCAATGTGTGATCATGTGTCTAATTTGGTGTTACTTTCCATCTTGCAGGTCAGTTTATTAAGATTTCAGAACCTGAAAGTCCCAAAAATACCGCGAAGAAGAGTAAAAAGGGAAGGGAAAAATCAAATTCCCAAGTGAAGACTTCCGGCTCTACGCCCGGTAAGAGTTGTCCTTATATGTGTAAATCATGCGCGTGGACAGTTGAATTTTGGGATTATTTGGCCCGAGTAGATACTGATTTACTTAGAAGTTAGCATTCTACTAATAGCCATACAAGATTTCTCCTTAATTTTGCTTCTGACTCGCGGCATGCCGATGGCACTGCATTCCACATCAACCAGTGATTAACTGTGCAAGTAAACTATTGTTGCATTAAGGGTAAAATCGGAAATCACGCGTTCATTAAGTGCCTGTAGTTAAATTTCCATCCGTATTACTTTTCTAAATGAGGACTAGAGATTTTAAGGTTAACAAAATTGTTATGCGTCCTACCTCTGTAGATCTGCGCCAGTTCTTTCAAAAGTCACTCAAAACAGAAGATACACATGCGAGTTCATCCATGGCATCAGAGACGACCATGTTGAAAGAGCCGGTGGTTCCTTTTAATGGAGTCGGGCATAGGTTAGGGGGTTCTCCGTCCCCATCGGCTCGATCTCGCCTTTTGGCCTTGACCGCTCCGCGTCCCACGTCCTTGCAACCCACGTTTGCCACGGCCTCAGCCACTGGCTGTGGTTCTGACCCTAGCTTTGCCGGCCCGTCCGTCAGCAACGATAGCGATTTCACGCCCATGGGAGCGGTCCAATGCCCGGTCTGCTTCCAAGCTGTGCTGGCGGAGTTGGTGAACGAGCACTTGGATGCATGTCTTGTTGCTGCGTGATTCTCTTTTTTGGCACGGTGAACTTTTATCTACCTTAGCGCTTTACGATATTTTTAGATCTAAACAAATCTTTATCCGACTTATAATCGCATTTCCCATTGGAGTGGAAACATAAGTAGATAGTTGCGATAGTTTGAAGAGCCGATAATGGCGAGGTGGTTTTTATCACAATAATTCCAAAGAGTGACTACTGCTTCATTTTCTCACGATGGAAGTGTTAGTTGCGTCGCAAAGTCGTGGTAGTGTGGATGAATACGCGTTGACGACGACTGAATCCAGGCTGGAAACCACTGACCGCCCCGGTGTTCAGCCTAATATCTTCTCATTTGGGGTTAATTTAAAAGCATCAACGAAACGCTCGCTACTTTGGTTATCGTTCCTGCACCTTTTGATTTATTTGTTTACTCTAGGACGCTGACTCACGTCTACACCTGCAGTTTGTGTCGCCGGGGTTTTGCTGTGCCGGAAACGCTTACAATGGCGGTGGAGACGCGAAAACCGGTATAGTTTCATACAGGTGATGAAAATTCCTGATCAATTCAGAAGTTTAGTACCGTCAAGGATGCTAGTAAGCAATCCGTAAAATGCGTAAACCGACACTCGAAAGTTCTTGAAAAAATTCGCAAAGGGGGAGGATTTTCGGCCCGCTTGATAAGGGCACTAAAGCGTTTTCAAGGGCCTAATCATCAAGAATACAACGCTGCTCATATGTTATAACTGGAGAGGTAAGTGGATCACACTTAGATTGCACTTACAAAACTTGCAGTCACACTAGGTGAAGTGGATGCTTTATTTGCACAATTTCAGTGTATACAAGAGGGGAGAGTTAAGAGAGGTCACTCACGCCACCTTGCATCAACTTCATCAGTGCGGTAGCGTTGAGTAACGGTAGCCTCCGCCAGGGGAGTTGTCATTCCAACACGGAACATCTCGTAGCCCGCTTGAGCTATCATCGCTCCATTATCCACACAGTATCGGTCGTCTGTCGCGCACAGCATGGCTCCACGCTCTTTTGCCATGCAGGCCATCATTTCTTGCAATCTCAGGTTGCATCCTACCCCACCCACTATCAGCACCTCCTATAGTGTCAAAAAAAGTTAATAAGTAGATTGGTTTTTTAAATTACCGCCAAGTTCTCGTGAATTGAAAAACATTCTCCTCTTACCGGTTACGATATGCACTAGTCAACCAACCTTAGCGTCGCAGTGGGCCATCGCACGCTCCGTGATTTCTACAACCATAGCGAAAACGGTTTCTTGCAGTGAAAAGCAGAAGTCAGCTTGAGTGTATTCACCCGAGATGAGAAGCTTGGGCGCGCGTTCTTTGAGGTAGGATAAAATACCCGCGAAGGATACGTCCATGCCCTTGACCGCGTACGGCAACTCATAGAATTTATCCCCATTCTTAGCTGCCTGTTCAATGTTGTAGCCGGGGCTGGGATCGTTCGAGAGATTAATGACGCGGGCGAATCTACAATAAATGGCAAACGACCAAAACAGTTCTTGAAGTGTCAATCACTAAGGCAGAGAACGAAACCTGAATGAAAAGGTGTGGGAATGCTACCGATCAAGGCAGTTGCCAAGAGCAATGTCCAGAGTTTCACCAAAGATGCGATAGCGTCCGCCGGAGTAGGCGATAACCTGAGAGTTGCCACCGCTGACGTAGAGCACAATAGGCGCCTTGGCGCCAGTCACAAGACGTCCCATTTCGATGTGGGCGACGCAATGGTTCACTCCAATCAACGGCTTATTCCACAACTGGGCCAACACACGTGCAACTATAGCGACCACTTGCAATGGACCGCCCATTCCCGGACCCTAGATAAATAAAGAGAAGGGCACAATCCATCGCAAATCGTTGTTGAAGATCAAACACTTGATCGCTGTCAAGCGGTAACAAGTATTAACACCGAAACACCTCCTTTCAAATGAAATCAGCTTTCCTGAACTATCATTAAACGCTACTCACAAATACTTCCTCTAATCCCTAATGCTGAATCGGAAGGCAACACTGTTTTTGAGAGAAGATATTTTTTTAAGGAACTATAACGTAAACAATGCGCTGTTTCAGGGGACAAATTAGATTAAATTTACCTTGGTGTAGGCGATAGCATCCAACTCCTCGGCCTTAACATTCGCCTCCTGAAGTGCCCTTCGAACGAGATTGACCACGTGGGCGCGGTGATGGATTGTTGTCTCTGTCGGCTTGAATCCCTGACCGGGAGGGGTAACGTAGGTGACTCGCGGGTTAGAGAGCACCTCACCGTCTCGAATAACACCGATGCCCAGCTTATTTGCGCTCCCCTCCATTCCCATAATTAAGACCATTCTGTATGCAATGAGGACTATAGACACATCAAAAGTATAAGCCCTTCAATAAGCCGTCAATATAATCCGTAGGAAATAAATTTAGGCAACGTTTTCAAGGAAATCATGGCGGTATCAAAAGGGAACCAAAACTTGGAATTCCCCTTTTACCGAAAGTGATGATTATCCACATACCCCATACCTCCGTCAAGCATGATGTTATCAGTTTACTGCGACTGATTACGCCGGATCAGGCACCGGAAATAATTTAAGTGGATTAAAGCAATAAAACAACTTAGAACGCCCATAATCTTGTGATGAGCAGTTGTCTTTATACTAGCAGAACGGTTTAACATTAGCCAAAGTTTCCTATTATGGTGAAAGTATCAAGCAACAGGTGCAGCAGCAACAATCAACCAACGTACCACTCATAAAACTAAGAAGGTAAACCACTAAAGGATTAATTTGTTACATACAGGCATACAAAATGGGCATTGAGAGAGAAATTGATAGACCGGTTAAATTAGTGTTGACGGCGTATGCTCTTGCGATGAGAATGGGAGATGACGCCTGTGGTTCCTTTGCCTGACGACGCGGAGATAGGAGGGGGCATTGATACATCCTTATCGGCGGCAGAGCGCAATGACTTCCGAGTCCGTTTGGTAAGCTGCAGCACGGCAGCAGTCGAAGACGATGATGGTGAGGAGACAGAACGAGGTGAGATGGATGGAGAACTAGCCGCTGGTGTCGAGGGATTTTCATCGGCTAATAAGGTTGTTTTATAGGTGGAATCTAAGGCTTTGAAGAAGAAGGAACCAACGTCGATAAAAAGGGTGATTACTCAACCTCAAATAAAGGAGCCAACCCTAACCTGATTTGCTTTTATGTCTCCCAGTAAGTCCAGCAGTGGAGGATGTATCAGGATTGGCAGCTGTCGAGGACACACGAGGAAATGCAAGAGATTTGATTTCCTTAAATTCATCAGGAAGAGAGAACTCTGCTGGTCTATGAGGGTAAGGTATAACTTCAGATTCATTCTATAAGAGAACATGGAAAGCGTACATAAAACAGAAACAACAGCACAACTTACCAGCTCCTCTAAATTATACAATTTATTCAAATGCTCCCATATACTCTTTATAGAACAAGGCAAATTTTCCTTAACTTGCAGTCGGTAAGCAAGGCAAATCATTTGAAAGTTTCGGTCCAGACCGACTGGTTTAAAAAGCATCAACCCATGAAATAATTTAATTTCATCGTCAAGGGACCAGGTCATTACACTTAATAGGGTGGCCTTGGATTGGGCGCAATCAAGAACAGTGAATTAAAACAGTACCCTTTTAAAACAAGTTATTCCATGACGAGTCAGACAGCAATGACTCCTTTAATTAGGAGTACCACAAAAAACGTAAATATTACAAATTAAGGAGCCATAATGCTTACGTTGCTTAAAAAGGTTAGATAGATATTCTTTAAAAAAGATGAAAAATTTTCCCTAGGTCGATTGCACCCAAAGCCCAAATACTTATATTTTCAGAATGGAGTCAAGCTTGAGGCTACTAAGATGA